TTCATTCCCAGTTATTGGCCTGTTGTGTGTTTCAGGCCCTCGGGAAGGGTCAGCGCACCCGGACGAGAGACGGGAATGGGTGGAGACTGGCTTAGAATCAGAGCAGCTGCAATTCCCACTTTACGAATGTCACCTCCTGCTCCCCACGGGGGTCCCTGGGCATTTTAGAGGATCAGACGTAGAGAAAACTGGGGAAAGGCAGACCTGGTCAGAGCAGAGCTCACAGGTGGCCTTTCTGTAACGTAGACGTCCTTGTTCCCAAAGATCCCCCCCATGTGTAATACGCCATTTTTCTTCCCTGTGCTGACTCAATATGGCCAGGTGAAATTTATTGGGCCTAAGGCGCCCCTACTTTTCATAAATGCCCATGGGATGGTCGGTCCCTCTCATTGCTTTCTCCTAACATGCAGTGGAGACCATCTGAGTACATGGGCTAAGATGGGGGCGGAGGGAAAAGACACCGTTGGGCTGCTTTGAGCCAGAGGCTAGGCTTGCGTAGGGCCTCGGGAGGGGGCTTGGGGTAGCATGGGGCCCCGGTCCCTGAGAGGGCACAGGTCTCAAACATAAGTTTGCCAGCACAAAAAATGTTCATAGAATGTGGGGAGGGAGTTCTCATTCCTCCTCCTTGCAGTTTCCTGCCTGGGATTATGGTCTAAATTGTTGCACTGGGGTCTGGCTACATTGTTGATCCTTCGTGGGCTGATGTGGGAACCTGCAGGCTGCTCGTGTTGCTTTCTTGAAAAAGGGCTTTTGAAGTGTCAAGTAACCATCTCTTGAAGCTAAAACCCATTTGTAGGTTGAGAACACTGTCACATAGCCCGGCCTTGGTGGAGAGGGGCAGTAGGCAGGAGTGTGGTGATGGATTTGAGGGTCGGTGGGATTCATGGAGAAGGGTGGCTCTGGAGCTGTAATCTGGGGTCTTTGGTGGGGGAGAGTTTGGGCCAAGGTGAGGAGTCCGGATTGAGGAGGGGCGGGGGCCCCAGGCGGGCGGGGTGGATATGGCTGGCACAGGGTCGGGGAAGGAGAGAGTCACTCTCCAGTGGAGTGTGAGGTTTTTTTGGAGGGGGGGATTTTTATTGCAGGATGTGGTGGGGGTGCACATAAGAGCCAGAGGGGCCTGGAACACATGGACTCGCGGAGATGTCCACACCACAGGAGCCTGGAAGGCAGCAGCCAGGGAGAGAGGGCAGGCCCTGGCTGAGCAGCCTTCATGTTTATCCTACAACACAACCCACGGACTGTTGAAAATTTGTCACCAACTTCCCCATCCACCCTCAGAAAATTCCACAGGAACTCAGCCTCTCTGGGGTCCAGGACCTCTCGATGCCCTCCTGGAAAGCAAAACCCACATTTGAAAGCCCAGTTCCTGACTTGGGCAGGCAGAGATATGCTGATTCAAACATCTCTTTTTACCTGCCTCAACCTTGAAGGAAGGAGCCTGCCAAGATGGATGTGTAGGGAGGAAGGAGACAATTTATGGAGTTTTAGAGCTAGAAGAGGTTTAGAGAGACAACCTAGGGCCCTAGCTAGCGGAGGTTGTGCCAGACAGAGCGCCAGGTCCTCAGTGGGCATCGTCCCCTGCCAGCTCCATGCTGGGCATCCTTAGGGCTTGCCTCCAGGAGACCCAAACTCCGAGTAGACATCTGACCACTTCTGGCTCAGCCTGGGGGTCCTCTGTACCTTGGTTCTGTAATTTAAATGAAATTCTATGTGAGGTGAAGACGGGCGTTGGTCCCCCGGGCGGCTGTGAGGCCAGACCTTGCCTTCCTGCTCAGGGGCTGCTGAAGGCAGATCAGCTGAGGAAGGCCATGGCTGCTGATGCTGCCATGACAGCAAAGGACAGGGCAGATGAGCTTGACTAGGATGGCATCAGAGCAGGCTTGGCATTGGCCTTCATGAATTGGGCACAGAGGACGGGAGCTGGCAAAGGGGGTGAGCAAAGCATCGTGCTGTTGAACTGTGTGGCCTTGGGTAGCTGAGTACCCTCTCTGGGCTCAGATGACCTCCAAGGCCCTTATGGCTCTGCTGAGTCTAAGCAGGTGGGCTTTGCCCATAAGACAGCTGTCTCTTCTAGTTAGAAGTCCTCCAACCTGCTTTCACTTTGTTTCTCTTCTCCTTTTAGTTGTTACTGTTGGTGTTCTCCATCATAAGAAGAAGATTCTGGGATTATGGCCGTATTGCCTTAGTGTCAGAAGCAAACAGGTGAGAAAGACACATCACTTCAAATAAGAGACTGTGTGTGTGACTGGGATGGGATGGGGCTAGGAAGCCCACCAGGCAGGGCCCACGCATGATGCTGATATAGATTGCGTTCATTGAGTGCACCTGCCAGGCCTGTACTAGAACTGTGTTGGCTCCGCTCTTCACCGCAGACCCAGGAGGTCTGCCTCGTTACCTTCGTTGTCCCATGAGAACTGAGACCCTCATGCCCGGCTCTCTCCTGGGGCTTTGGCCTGGCCGTGGACCTCATTGGCTTCAGGATATGGAGGAAATCTAATTGCTTTAGCTACTTAGGCCTTTCATCATCAGCTGAGGAAGATGTCAGTTTTTCTTCTCACCTTGAGTATTTTCCAGTGTATCTTCTTGGAAGTTCATCAGCGTGGGGCTGGGGAGGAGCTGAGGCGGATTGAGAAGGGCAGTAGGGCTGTAGGTGAGCTGCTCCTGTCCTCCTTCCAGGCCAGTGCCCACTGATGGCCCCAACTCAGCCAGCTTCAGATGAGTCTGTGCCAAACGGAGACCCCCTCGGCCAGACCTCAGGTCCTTCCACTTCCACCCTGGGCTCTGACAGTTCTCTGCTCATGTCACCTGAAGGGGGACAATGAATTCTAGATCTGCTCCACTGAAATTTCCAGTGCCAGCTGGCTGTCGCCCACCCCAGGATGTTGTGTCGGATGCAGCAATAGGGAGTGGGGAAGACACGGGACGGGCCCAGGCTGCCCCGCCCACAGCCTCCCCCGATGTTCCCCAGGCAGACGCTCTACTCACTCCACAGGCTGCTCCGGTGGAAGTGAGGTCTGTGCGGGAGAGGCGAGGGGCGTCTGTAAATGCACCTTCTTTCCCCACGGTCTCTGCTGTTTTGAGGAAGTCCGAGGGCATTAACCTTGGGCTTGGGGGGGCGGGGCCTCTCGCTTCCATTGTGTTGGAGCCTTAATCAGTTGCAGGGGGGAGCTTTTGGGACATCTGATGCATTTGTGGCACACCCACCCCTAGGAGGGGCCACGTCCTACAGTAGAATAGAGCACGGGACCTCAGGAGACCCCACCGCCTCCCTGGTTGAGTGATCTTGGTCAAGTTCCAGACTCCTTGGGGCTGTGTCCCCCTCCCCCAGGGTTACTATGAAGGTCAAGTGAGACGGTTCTCCAGGAAGGGTTTGAGAATTAAGTTTTGCTGTGTCATCATCATTACATCACTAGAAGTGGGATGTTGGAGCCAGAAGTGAGAAAATAGAGAGAAGCAAAAATGAGCATACTGTGAACACCTCACATTCCCAGTGCAAGGGCCATTTTTATGGATTACTCAGGAGAAGGGATCTCATTAAAATGCCATAGTTCATCAACTCCAAAATGCGCATTTTGACATTTTCTCCTCTCTGAAATTGGGATGCCACTTATTATCGATAGTGGTGATAGTTTAATCGACAGCGTTTTTTCCTTCTTAGTGGTTCATAAAATAATTGTACTCTTTACAACCAGTGGTGTGTTAGATTTGATAAAATGCAGTATTTATTCCAAATTCTATTTGCTGTATTGGGACGTATATTGTGAACAGACAACACTCTGAAATCACTTTAGGTCAACCAGTCGCGGTGCTGAGGTTTGAGAGTGTGGGCACAGATGGTCTATGATGCCCTGACCCCACGTTCTTCATCCCATGTAACATAGAGTCGTGTCTTACCACTCCTAGGAGTGGCCAAGGCCCCGGTCTGTACCTCTCACAGGGTGAGTCCAAGTTTGTCCCAGCCATGGAGGGCTGGTAGCTCTGCTCCTGAGCTCTAAGAGGCAGCAAGATACTGGGCATAAGTTTTCAGACTTTTAAAAAGGATTTTCTGTCATTTTCTCCTTTTGTGTTTCTAGTGAGTCCAGATTCCAGAGGCTGTCATCTTCCTCCTCAGGGGAACTGGACTTTGAAGGCGAGCTGGTTGGTATCTGAGGGTTGTGGCCCGGGGGTGGGGGGCAGTGACTGGCTGTAATGAGCTTGGGGGGGAGAGGGCAGCTGTGCTTCTGTTCAGCTGCTCACCTGGTCCCCTGGGTTTTGAGTGGCTGGTGCCGGTGAGAGCTCTTCTCTGCATCGACAGAGGCACGTGAGCTTGGGAGACGCCTCTGGGAAGATGGCAGCTGGATGACCCAGGATCCTGGGACTTGACTCAGGCGGTGGGCTGCCGAGTGCCCTGTGGTCCCAGCGCTTGTCTGTTGCCACAGAGCTTTGTGGGACAGTTCACTGTGGACTTGCCCGTTGGCTTATGAGCTGAATGTGGGCAGGAACCGTGTCTTACCCAGCGCTCTTCCCCACTGCTTGACACCCAGGGGGTGCTGAGTAATGGTCGAATGAATAAGGAATGAATATTTGTCTTTCCCAGCTGGTAACAGTCCAGCTTTAGGGAGTATTAAGTTTAAGACTATGCGCTGGACGGTGAAACCTACCGACACCCTATCCCTTCTCTGCGTGGGAAGGGAAATGTGTAATTCCTGCCTAATTCCACTAACGGTCAAAACGTGGGAGGTTTTCGTCAGATTTCCAGACACAGGGTGTGCATTATGAAGGACTGGGAGTGTGCAGACTCTGTCACGTTTGAGACAAGGGGTCGCTTGCTGAATTTGGGACAAAAGTGCTGTTTTCTTCTAAGAAGAGTTTAATGGTTATTTAATGTCAAAGATGATGCCTCTGTCTGACTCCCAAAGACACAGACATTGGCTGCTAACCCGCTCTCTCTGCTTCCAGGCATGCTGCCCCTGGCTGACGGCCATCTTCCGCCTGCGGTGAGCTCGGCGGGGCAGCTGGGGGTTGTTGGGTGGGTTGTTTGGGTGTTAGGCCATCAGGAGGGAGGAACCAAGAAGCCTGGTCCCGAGCTGGGGTCTCTCAGATACTTTTCAGTTCAGGCCAGGGCTGTGGGGCGCTGAGAACCCCGGGGCCAGGCGGCCCCCACAAGCTAATGAAAGCTCCTGCTTTGCATTTGGATGGAAGCTCTTCCAGGCAGCTTTACATGTCTTTGAATTAGTGAAAAGTAGAGAAATAGTGATTGTTGGTAGATTCAGCCTATTTGGTTAAAAGTTTTCCTTTTTCACAAAACTTGGGGCCTGTGGAGAGCAATCCTGAAAGAGATGCTTGGTGGTTAGAGGTGACTGGTCTCCTCTCACCTGAGTCTCAGCTCTGCCACCTGCTGCCGTGTCTGCTGAATCTCTGGAGCCATCATTGTGAGACACACGTTATCTTACACAGCACTGAGAATGAGAAAGGCTGCCTATTACGCAGTGATCAGCTATGATTGTAGGGGGCGCCCCATTTCAGAGGGGTTGAGACATGAAAAGGACATCTTAGAATTGATGAAATATGGTTGTTATAGGACATTGAATAAGGCCCTCTCTCTGGGCCTCAGTTTCCCTAACTATGAAAGGGGCCGAGGACAGCACCTCTGCCAAAATCAAATGAATTAGTACATATGAGAGCAAATTGTAGAAGACAGAGTTTCTGGAGAAGCAGCCAGTGAACTCTGGTGTGGAGCAGGAGGAGGCAGGAGGAGGGGTTCAGGGAGGGAGGGGCCCATGGTGGGAGAGGCGGATTTGCCACCCCCACCCTTCCCTGCCCCCCACAACATCATGTCACTAGGACGCATCTCCTCCTTGTGTGGAAGTGATACAGGCACTGTGCAAAAAGTCCGTCACATACAGAATGGAAGCAACAAGGAGAAATTATAAGTCACCCGTCACTCTGCCTCTGAAAGATGCCCCTGGCGTGTTTTCTCTTGGTGGCCACTCTCCACGGCCATGGCTGGCTGGGGCTCAGGCCACTCCCCCACCCCTGGGCTCAGCCTGGACCCCACTCTCAGCCTGGACCTGATGGGGCAAAACCAGAAACGGGCTCATTCTTTTCATGGTAACCAGCAGAGGCTGTGGCAAATGTACAGTGCAGTCGCTCCTCTCCCCTTTCCTGCTGTTTCCATTGTCCTGTGGCCCCATCCGGTCCCCTCCGCCTGCACACTCATTTCTCACTGAGTGGGGCTGTCGTGTGGTGTGGCTGTGTGTTCTGCTTTGTCATTGTAATCCTCTATCAGGCATATTTTTCCGTTTCAACTCCCAGTGCTTTTTCTCTTCTGTTCTAGCCACAGAATGGACTGCTCTGTGACTTTTTTAAAGCTACAATTATATTCTAACAGCTGCTCACAGCCAGTGTTACAACTGACATTTAAAGACGCCTCTCCATTTCCTTCTGAGTTGCCTTTCCCCTGCGAGATAGGGAAGTCAGAAGAGTTTCCCAAGGAAAACTGTACTGAAAACTGATGATTTGTGGGTTTTCGTCTTCGTCAGCATTTGTTTAGTAAGTGCGTATGTCATTAGGTAGTTTATGTACAAGTGAAAGCAGTGTGGCTCATTGCAAAGCTTTGTCCCCCAGGTAATAGTAAGGAGGAGTCAGGTTAGCGAGCGTCCTAGAGCATCCTCAGGTGTGGACACAGCGTCTGGCCTGCTCCTCACTGCCTCTTGTGCTCCTGCCAGGTCTCCAGGGACCCAGCGGCAGCAGCTGCCCTCCTTCAGGTCCCAGCCTCAGGTGCGCCCGTGACCCGCTCCCTGGGGTGGCGGAGCTGGCTTCCACTGTGCTCTGTCTGTCAGACTGCAAAGCCCACGCTCCACACCTCTCTGATTTGCCTTTTTCTGCTGCAGCACCTGCTTCCCTGAGTTCTTCCCAGGGTCGTGCTTTCCCGGCCTTCTAGAAGCAGGACCCATCAGGACAGTGGGCAAGAGGAGACCCTCCTGCTCCCTCTGTAGCACAGAAGTCTGACTGTCAGAGCCTGGAATTTTCTGGGTCCCCAAATGACCTGGAGCCTCCAAATACAGCCTTGAGGGTGGGAAAGGGCGGAGCCGGTCACCTGCTATCTCTGGGGCCGTGGCAGGGACAGGGCAGGGGCAGTGGGATGGACTCAGCCTTGGATCGTTTAAGCAGTGGCTTCCCCTCTCTCCCAGCATGCCTGAGGGGGACACGGGAGGACAGATGGGGCCGCGGGCCTGGACTCGCTCCAGCCTGCTTCAGGAGGAGATTCCCAGCAGCTGCTGTCAGTGGCTTTCTTGTCCATAGAAGCAGGAAGGGGCTGTGGGTGATGGCATTTACACACCTCGCCCATGCACAACTGTGGGCACAAGTGTTTCTGGAGACATCAGATGGCCTGGTCGTAGGTTCCCTTGCCCAGGACTATGGGGCTGAGGGCGGCTCTGAAGTTCTCATCACAGCTCAGCTGTTACAAGCCACGTGACTGTAAAAATTATGCACTTTTCCTGTATCTCTGCTTCCTCATATGTAAAAAATGTGGATGGGCCATCCCTGTGGCCTAGTGGTTAAGTTCTGCACACTCCACTTTGGCAGCCCAGGTTTGGTTCCTGGGCGTGGACCTACACCACTTGTCAGTGGCCATGCTGTGGTGGTGACCCACATAGAAAATAGAGAAAGATTGGCACAGATGTTAGTTCAGGGCCAATCTTCCTCAGCAAAAACAAACAAACAAACAAAATGCAGATAAAATTAGGACCGACCTCACAGGATGGTCTTGAGGATTAAATGAGGCCATCTGTGCAAGGCCCAAGGGCCCAGCCTCTTACTACTACTCACTGAGATCCCATGTGTGTGTCTTGGCCAGCGATGACCAGATCCTGGAGCGCTGTGGGGAGGACGCCATCCACTACCTGTCCTTCCAGAGACACATCATCTTCCTGCTGGTGGCGGTCAACATCTTGTCCCTGTGCGTCATCCTGCCCGTCAACCTCTCGGGAGACTTGCTAGGTACTGAACCCTCGTCCATGTCTGAGTTGGGTCCGGGCAGAGCTGTGGCCTTAGGGGGAGGGGCTCATCGTGGTGACCAGAACCCCAGGATTCGTGCACACATTCAGATGTGAGGGTCTCAGGGTGACTTTCAAGACTTTTCCATCTGGTTAAAGATCTGGAGAAGAATCCACCCCAAACCTGGGCCACGAGCTGGGCCCCTAAATCAATTCCAGTTCTATCTAAGTAGGAGGAAGAAACCAAGGTCTATAAAATCAGGGCCTCTCAGAGAGTGGTTCATGCTTTCCTGCCCCAACTCAAATCAGGAGGTCACGGTTAGTGGAACAGAAGATGTTTGTGATGCTCAGGGTGAAAATGAGAGCTTGGAATTATATTTCCAAGCAACTGCAGCAATCCAGCTTCCAAAATGCCATCATGAGTCTACTTCTTATGCCCAGGGATTCCTAACTTTGGTTTTGGGAGCAGCTTAAGATGTTTCTAGATTTCTCAAGGAATGCTGCAAGAATCTCCAAGCAAGATGAATTCAAATTTGACTTTGTCCCCATGGTAGGTTGAGAAGAAGGTGTCAGGGAGCATCTTGGAGTAAGGAAGAGGCCATGGGTGGCGTAGCTCTGAAAAGACTAGACAGATGTTGTTGTCCTCTGACTGGTCTGGCCATGTCTTGCTTCTCCTCCTCAGAGCTCCACAGGCCAAGGCTGGTTATACCCCCTTCCCACCTCCCCCGTGTGGCTTTGGAACTAAGTATCTGTGCTTCTCTGCAGACAAAGAGCCTCACAGTTTTGGGAGGACGACGATAGCCAACCTACAGACTGAGTGAGTGTGGGGCTGGAGGGGCAGGGTGCTGATGGGGGAGAGCAAGGGAAGGCAGATTCTGGAGCCCGGGGTCAGCCAGAGGTCGTCCAAAGCGGGCAGGCTAATGTCTGAAAGTCCCTTAGCAGCAAGCTTGTTGCTGCCTATGGGCAGGGACACGCCCCAGGCAGCCGCCGTCCTGCGGTGGGTTTTAGGAAACAGGGAGGGCCTTGTGCGTCTGGGGTTCAGTTGTCAGGACAGGGCCGGGGGAGCTCTCTAAGGTGTTCACTGTGGGCCACACGGCCTCTGTTGGAGGCATCTGTTGTGATGAAGCCATCGTCCTCGGCCCAGTGCCGTGAGGGTAACCAAGCCCCAGCCCTTGCACCCTCAGTCCCTGCCTGGGAACCGAGCCCTGACGACAGGTGTTGTCCCCCTCCTCAGCAACGACCTCCTTTGGCTGCACACCGTCTTCGCTGTGATTTACCTCTTCCTCACGGTGGGCTTGATGCGGCGCCACACGCAGTCCATCAGATACACAGAGGAGAACCTGGTGAGTGAGGCGGGGGCGGGCTGTGCTGGGGAGGGTCTCAGGCGGGAGCCGGAAGGGATGGCAGCCAGGCTTATTCTGCAGGACCGCCACAGCAGGGAGCTTGAGGAGGGGCCTCTGGAATCTGGTTTGCATAGTTGCACTCCGAGTTGGCATTATCTTCTTTTTCTTTAATTTTCGGATACATTGTTTTAGGATTCAGATATTTTCCCCTCATTCTGCCAACTAGCCCTTAGATTTGTGGGTTTGGGCTTGTAGTTACTGATTCTAGGTAACTTTTAAGACATTCAGATTGAGAGCAGCCCCCTCTCTCTTTGCAACCACAGCTTCTATTACTTGGTCCCAGGCCTGGGTCCTGCATTGATCTGCTGTGTGACCCCATTTGAGTCACTTCCCCTCTCTGGATTCTTGCTCCGTCTCCTGTTGTGCAGAGGAGGTTCATAGAACTGCTTTGGAAATGTGTTCTTTGCACAGCCTGGAAGGAGATGCTGTGTCACTGACAGGCTCCGGGGCTCTCCCAGGCTACGGGAGAACACCTGAGCCTTCCTAGTGCCCCTTGTTCTCCTTTGGGAGCTTGAAGGGGTGGAAAACCTGGGCCCCCGTGCAGGCTGGCTTCCCTCATGTCTGTTCTCCCTGGTGTGTTGCTCTGGCAGGTGAGGCGGACGCTGTTCATCACAGGACTCCCCAGAGATGCCCAGAAGGAGACCGTGGAGAGCCACTTCCGGTGAGCAGGGCTGTGGATGGGAACGGGAGCTGGGCACCCTCCAGGCGGGATTGGCACAGTCCCCCGGGGCAGGCACCTTAGGTGAGTGCCTTACGTCTTCCCCTTGGGCACCTGGTGAGGTCCAAGAGGGACCTGGCCCTGCCACATGAGCATTGAATGGCTGCCCTGTGCCAGCTCTGCTGGTGCCGTGGAAGGGCTCGGGACAGGACTGCCATGGGTCTTGGAGCGGGGCTGCCTGGATTTACATCCTGGCTCAGATACTCACCAGCTGTGTGACTTTAGCCACAAGTCATTTAACCTCTCTGACTCTTATTTTCCTCATCTGTAAAATGGGGACAAAACCTCACAGGTTGTGATGAGGATTAAGTAAGTTAATGCTGTCACAGTACCTGGCCAATAGCAAAAATAGATAGAGCACACTTATAAGTGTTTTACTATGAGCCTGAACGTGCGTAGACATTTTCTAGGCTGGGGGTCCTTTGCTCTCCCTAGTCCTAAAATGTCTAAGACCTTCAAAAGCGTCACAAACTGAATAGGCTTTCAGTGATGGCCCAAGATAGGTAGGACCTAGAGCGGGCAAGGAATCTATTCCTTTGGGTGGGTAGAGGGGATAACAAACAGTGTTCATTTTTCCCCGGGAGAAGTGCCAGCTGATTTAAAGCCAAGTGGATATAAACTTGTCAGTTTCAGTTTCATGCTATTAAAAAAGGTCTGTTTGTATTCAATTTCAAAATTTTCCCCTTTGGTAAAAGACAAAGAGAAAAGAGGTTTCCACCAGCACAGAGATGAGCAGCGTGATAGCTCTGCCACCCTTGGAGACTAGGGTGTCTCTCCTACGAGGGGTCTCTTTTCTAATGGCCTTCTTTTGCCTCCGGCCCGCGCTGGGCACAGGGACGCATACCCCACGTGTGAAGTGGTGGAGGTCCAGCTGTGCTATGACGTGGCCAAGCTGATGGACCTGTGCCAGGAGAGGTAAGGGAGGGCTGGGGGGTGGGCGTGCATGGGGGAAGCCGGCCCGCAGCTTTCTGACCCCTCCCCTCTGAGATGCCCACCCTCCTTCTGTGCTGGCCTTGGCGCCCCCGGCGGGGGAGGGAGGTGGGTGGCTCTGCCCCATTCTTCTTGAGAAAGCTGAACTCCTGGTTCTGGTGGTGACCAATGGTGGATGGTGGGTGTGGGGTCCGTACCACAGGACTGAAGTTTGTCCCCCTCCTGCAGAAAAAAGACTGAGAAAAGCCTGACCTATTACACGAACCTGCAGCTGAAGACAGGCCAGAGGACCCTCATTAACCCCAAGCTCTGCGGCCAGTTCTGCTGCTGTGAAGTGCCCGGGTGTGAGTGGGTGAGGGCCCACTTCCTGGCCAGGGGCGCGGGTGCTGGGTGCCCCTGACAGCTGCCTAGGGCCACGTCCTCACAGGGGATGTGTCCTCTGGTAGGAGGACGCCATCTCCTACTACAAGCGCATGAATGACAGGCTGACGGAGCGGATCACACAGGAGCAATGCAGGGTCCGGGACCAGCCCCTGGGAATGGCCTTTGTCACCTTCCAGGAGAAGTCCATGGCCACCTAGTGAGTGTGGGCATGTCCCAGGCACCTTCTCGACTGACTCCCTGTCCCCTTCAGATGACTTGCTGTCCCTCTTGGATAGAGATGGTGCTGCTGAATTAGCATCTCTGGGACTTGTCTGGCATTTCTATCTCCTTCCCTGGGTGTGGCTGGTAGGCAGCCATCACACTCCCTCCCTCTGTGAGCCCAGCCTGTGTTGAGTGACAGCCGGGCCTGGGTGATTCTGGCTGAGCCCCTGTTGGGTTGATGTGGCCTTACTCACTGCTGGGCCGTCACCAGCTGCCCCGGGGGTCCCACTGCCTTTGTGTCCCAGCCTTCTGCCAGGTGGGATGGATGGCGTCCTCCTTCAGATGTGAACTCTGGGACCACCGATCCTTCTGGGTGGGCTTCCCATCTCCTGCCCATGCACAGCTATGTGGGAAGAGCCCTGGGCACCGCAGGGCTGTCCCTGCTGCGGAGAGCCTGGCCTGGGCATTCATTCCCACAGTGCACCTTGGCCTGGGCTCCAGCTCGTAAAGTGCCCTCATGCCTGGGATCTGGTGTCACCTGGCCTTGGGAGCAGCAGGCGATGGGGTTGGGTGCGTGGCGCGGAAAGGAGGTGGCCCAGCAAATGCCCCTTTCCCTGCCTTGCCTGCTCTGACAGCATGTACCCTGGGGACAGGCTCCTGGTTGTGCCCTGCAGACCCTGAAGTGAGGGGCCGGGAGGAGGACGGTGGAAAGAGGAAGGGCGTTCTGAGACGGGAGCAGGGGGGCTGGTGGGTTCCTCATGAGAGGATAAAGGGGGAAAGAGTGGTGAGGGTTGAGATGGGAGTCCTTGGGAGGGAAATCTTGGAGTCACAATGGGAACAAGCACATGTCTCGTGCTGCTATGGGGCCTGGGGAAGAAGAGAGGGACGGAAAGGTGGGGCCACTGGCAGAGGGTCCGACCATGCTCCAGCTTCCTGGGCGGGGCAGAGGGGGATGGCCCTGAGGAGGAGTGGAGTGTGGGGTAGTGCACACAGCGTGGATGCTGGAGTCACACAGATGGGGCGCAAAACCTGCCTCGGAGAGCCTGATGTTCCCGTCTGTGAGATAGGAATAGGAACCCCTGGCTTGCAGGGGGGGTTGTTCTGAGGATTAAACAAACCCCTCCACGTGGTGTGCCGAGCAGGGCATCGCTTTCACAGCGTCAGTGATAATGGACAATCATGCAGCACAGCCCTCTGCCCTGAGGCTCCCACGTGTGTACGTGGTCCCCCGCGTGGTCTGGGCCCTGGCATATCTGTGTTTCCCGGCAGCATCCTGAAAGACTTCAATGCCTGCAAGTGTCAGGGCCTGCGGTGCAAAGGGGAGCCCCAGCCGTCCTCCTACAGCAGAGAGCTCTACCCCTCCAAGTGGACTGTCACCGTCGCCTCTTACCCCGAGGACATCTGCTGGTAAGCGCTGGAAAGAGGCCTGGGCACCGGTGGGGGCCGCCCGGTCCCCTAGAAGCAGCGATGTGAGCTGGCGCTCAGGGAGGGCTGCACAGGTCTCCTGCACCTCTCTGGGCAGGGGTGAGGGTGACCTGGGGGTGCATATCCTCCCTGGCGTGTCACTCCAGCGTTGCTCCCTGGCATCGGCAGTGTCCAGTAGGTATATGATGTGAGCTACACATGGAATTTTAGAATTCCTTGTAGCCACATTAAACAAGTAAAAAACTGTGAAAGTTAATTTTAATAATATCTCTCCCTATATATTGAAAATATTATCATTTCAACATGTGTTCTGTTCTTTAAAAATTGAGAAGTCTTACATTCTCCTTTTCATACTTATGGTCTTTGAAATCCAGTGTGGAGTATATACTTCCAGCACATCTGGATTTGGAGCAGCCCCAGTTCAATGCTCAGTAGCCACATGTGGCTCATGGCTACCATATGGGAGAGTGCCACCTGAGGTCAAGTGTCAGCGGCCTGTCTAGCCTGGGGACACGCTGGTGAGCTAAGCCGTGTCCACAGGGCCTTCTCGAGCCTTAAGCTCGGTGTCCAGGGTGAGGGCAGCCCCAGCGGAGGCCCAGCCCTCTGGCTGTGCAGCCCAGCCTCAGGTCCTCGCCCAGAGCGAGCTTTGGGGGCTTGCCTCCACTGGGCTCTGGTTTGGCCTCTGACCGTTCTGCTCCTGGGTTCGTAGGGCTGTCTAAATGTGGGACTGGTTTGTGGGTCTGCTCTAGATGGGGTGAGAGGCCAGGGCAGGTGCCAGCTGCGTCTTTGTGCCTTTGTCCCCTGTCTCCCTCCTCCTTGCACCCCCAGCCTGTGGCCCTGATGGGAAGAATGTGTCGTTAGTCACAGAGTATCCCAGACATGTCTAAGAAATGCTGTGTCAGAGGCTTGTTTGGTTAGCTTGGGTGCGCATGGCATCCCTTTGGTTGGTTCTGGTCCCCCAACTCTAGCTGGGGAGCCACGTCAGCACTGAGTAAATGATTTTCGCTCTGAGCTCACAGGGACCCCAAATTTGACCTTCCCATAGCTGAAGGTCAGTGCATAACACTTGCCTGTACCCCTGAGGTCGAAATGAGCCCTCAGCCAGAGCGCTCAGGCTAGTCTCTTACCTTGCCTAAATTTGACCTTCTGACCCACGTAGGCTGTGAGTAGGGTTGGCGTGTGGGTGGCCAGGGTCTGGGAGATAAGCCCCCAGGGCCTGTGTCCTCTCCTCTGCAGGAAGAACCTCTCTACCCAGGGCCTGCGCTGGTGGGTCCAGTGGCTGGGCATCAACTTCACTCTCTTTGTGGGGCTCTTTTTCCTGACCACGCCCTCCATCATCCTGTCCACCATGGACAAGTTCAATGTCACCAAACCCATCCGTGCACTGAATGTGAGTGACCATTCTGCAAGGCCTATCCCAGGTGGGCTGGTGGGTGGGGGAGGAATGGGACCCGAAGGATGTGGGGGACACTGAACCAGGAGGTCATGTCACTCAGCTTGTGTCTGTGTTTTAAGCCCTGAGGGGGCATGAACACATTTATTACAGTGTCTCTATAGTAATGATTTGTATATATATATATTTTTTAGTGGAATCAGCCTAAATGTTCAGCAGTAGGGGTTATTCAAGTTGAATGGGGTATATTCAGTCTGATAGAATGTTAAGCATCCATTAAGAAATTGTATGGACTTTGTGGCGGACCTGGGGGACTTGTGATGAAAGCAGAATGTGGAATTGTCTCTAAGCAATGGCCATAGCAATACGTGTGTGTGATGGATGCCGTGGGGACCAGGCAGGAAAGAATGAAAAGAGCTTTGTTGATTTGGGTCCAGAATCATGAATTAATTATTCCTCTTACATTTCAGTTTCTGATAATCTTGTTATAAAGTCATTGATTCTAAATAGGGAATCATGATTTTTAAAAGTCTTAGATGAATCGGTGAGAACAGCTAAACACGCCCTAAATTGGCATCTACTTAAAGAGATATTGGTTTCCCATAATTAGCTTTGTTGAAAGATCACCTTAAGTCTTTTTCTTTTTTTCCAACCCCACTTGTCATTCAGTTAAGCATGCTGGGAAAGCATGCTGGACTGGAGGTCAGAGGTCCTGTTCCTCACTCGGCCATTCCTTCCCTGGCTGATGGATTCTGAGCCCTGGCTTTTCATCCCAAAACTGGAGTTAAAACACCTGCCATCTGTACTCACGGGCTGCTGTGGTGTGGATCAAATAGCTAACGTGTGGTTGAAGCTCTCTTGTCTGACTCAGTATATAATAAGACACACATAGGATACCTTAGGCAGTTTTGTTTAGATTTCAAGCGTGGAGATGTTCATTCCTTTGCCAGTCTTTGGATATGTGGTCAATGCCTGTTCTTTTGAGAGTGGGTCTGCTGATGAGAGTTCCCGTTGACTCTTTTACTTAAACCACCCCCTCATTTCATTGTTTGTGATTCCAGTTGTGGTTTCTTTTTTTTTCCCAATTATTTTATTGAGGTTGTAATGGTTTATCACATTGTGTAATTTCAGGTGTACATTATTATTTATCAGTTTCTGTATAGACTGCATTGTGTTTACTACCAATGTTTAATTTTTATCCTTCACCATATATGTGTGTCCCTTTACCCCTTTCCCCCAACCCCCACCCCCAATTCCCTCTGGTAACCACTGATCTGTTCTCTTTGTCCATGTGTTTGTTTATCTTCCCCATATGAGTGAAATCATGTTATGTTTGTCTTTCTCTGGCTTATTTTGCTTAACATAATACCCTCAACGTCCATCCATGTTGTTGCAAATGGGATGATTTTCTCTTTTTTTTATGGCTGAGTAGTATTCCATTGTGATATACCACATCTTCTTTATCCAATCATCAGTGGATGAGCACTTGGGTTGCTTCCACATCTTGGCTATTGTGAATAATGCTGCAGTGAACATAGGGGTGCACAAGTCTCTTTGAATTATTGATTCCAAGTTCTTTGGATAAGTACCAAGTAGTGGGATTGCTGGTCATATGGTATTTCTATTTTTAATTTTTTGAAAAATCTCCATACTGTTTTCCATAGTGGCTGCACCAGTTTGCATTCCTACCAGCAGTGTATGAGGGTTCTCTTTTCTCCACATCCTCTCCAACATTTGCTATTTTTTGTCTTGGTAATTATAGCCATTCTAATAGGTATAAGATGATATCTCATTGTAGTTTCAATTTGCATTTCCCTAATAATTAGTGACATTGAACATCTTTTCATGTGCCTATTGGCCATCTGTATATCTTCTTTGGAAAAATGCGTGTTCATATCCTCTGCCCATTTTTTGATCAGGTTGTTTGTTTTTTTGTTGTTGAACTCTGTGAGTTCTTTATATATTTTGGGATTTAATCCCTTGGTGGATATATGAGTTGCAAATATTTCCTCATTCTTGGTGGGTTGTCTTTTCATTTTGTTCATGATTTCCTTTGCTTTATAGAAGCTCTTTAGTCCAATGTATCCCCATTTTTAAATTTTTTCTTTTGTTTCCCATGCCCGAGTAGACATGGTATTTGAAAAGATGCTGCTAAGAATGATATAAAATTTTTCTTATATTTTTCTTCTAGGAGTTTTATGGTTTCAGGTCTTACATTCAAGTCTTTAATCCATTTTGAGTTAACTTTTGTGCAGGGTGTAAGATAATGGTCTACTTTCATTCTTCTACATGTGGCTGTCCAGTTTCTCTAATACCATTTATTGAAGAAACTTTTTTTTCTCCTTTGTATATTCTTGGCTCATTTGTTGAAGATTAGCTTCTGTAGATGTGTGGTTTTATTTCTGGGCTTTCAATTCTGTTCCACTGATCTGTGTATCTGTTTTTGTGCCAGTACCATGCTGTTTTGATTACTTATAGCTTTTTAGAATATTTTGAAGTCAGGGATTGTGATGTCTCCAGTTTTGTTCTTTTTCCTCAGGATTGCTTTAGATATTTGGGGTCTTTTGTTTTTCCATATAAATTTTGGGATTCTTTGTTCTATTTCCATGAAGAATGTCATTGGGATTCTGATTGGGATTGCATTGAATTTGTAGATTGCTTTAGGTAATGTGGACATTTTAACTACATTTATTCTTCCAATCCCTGAGCATGGAATATCTTCCCATTCCTTATGTCATCTTTGATTTCTCTCAATGTCTTATAGTTTTCAGTGTATAGGTCTTTCACCTCCTTGGTTAAATTTATTCCTAGATGTTTTATTCTTTTTGTTGCGATTGTAAATGGGATTGTATTCTTGAGTTCTCTTTCTGCTAGTTCGTTATTAGTGTATGGAAATGCAAGTGATTTTTGTAAGTTGATTTTGTACCCTGCAACTTTGCTATAGTTGTTAATTATTTCTAATAGTTTTCTGGTTGATTCTTTAGGGTTTTCTATATATAGGATCATGTTGTCTGCAAACAGAGTTTCACTTCTTCCTTTCCAATTTAGATCCTCTTTATTTCTTTTCTTGCCTAATTGCTCTGGCCAAAACCTCCAGTATTGTGTTGAATAAGAGTGGTGCGAGTGGGAACCCTTGTCTTGTTCCTGTTCTCAGAGGGATGGCTTTCAGTTTTTCTCTGTTGAGTATGATCTTGGCTGTGGGTTTGTCGTATATGGCCTTTATTATGTTGACGTACTTTCCTTCTATACCCATTTTATTGGAAGTTTTTATCATAAATGGATGTTGGATCTTGTGAAATGTTTTCTCTGAGTCTATTGAGATGATCATGTGGTTTTTATTCCTCATTTTATTAATGTAGTGTATCACATCGATTGATTTGCAAATGTTGAACCATCCCTGCATCCCTGGTATAAATCCTACTTGATCATGGTGTATGATCCTTTCAATGTATTCCTGTATTCGGTTTGCCAATATTTTGTTGACGATTTTTCATCTATATTCATCAGTGATATTGGTCTGTAATTTTCCTTCTTTGTGTTGTCCTTGTCTGGATTTGGGATCAGGGTGATGTTGACCTCACAGAATGAGTTAGGAAATGTTCTGTCTTCTTCAATTTTTTTGAATAGTTTGAGAGGGATAGGTATTAAATCTTCTTTGAATGTTTGGTAGAATTCTCCAGAGGAGGCATCTGGTCCTGGATTGTTGTTTTTTGGAGGTTTTTGATTACTGTTTTAATCTTTTTACTTGTGACTGGTCTATTCAGATTCTCTATTTCTTCTTGATTCAGTTTCGGGAGGTTGTATGAGTCTAAGAATTTATTCATTTCTTCTGGGTTGTCCAATTTGTTGACATATACTTTTTCATAGTATTCTCTTATAATCCTTTGTATTTCTGTAGTATCCATTGTAATTTCTCCTCTTTCATTTCTTAATTTTATTTATTTGAGGCTTCTCTCTCTCTCTCTCTTTTTTTTTTGGTGAGTCTGGCTAGGGGTTTGTCAATTTAGTTGATCTTCTCAAAGAACCAACTTAGTTTCATTGATCCTTTTTACTGTTTCTTTTTTTTTGTCTCCATTTCATTTATTTCTGCTCTAATTTTTATTATTACCCTCCTTCTGCTGACTTTAGGCTTTGTTCTTCTTTTTATAGTTCTGTTAGGTGTAGTTTAAGATTGCTTATTTGAGATTTTTCTTGTTTGTTGAGGTGGGCCTGTATTGCTATGAATTTCCCTCTTATGCTTTTGCTGCATCCCATAAGAGTTGGTATGATGTATTTTCTTTTTCATTTCTCTCCACTTTTTTTTTTTTATTTCTCCTTTGATTTCTTCATTGATCCATTGGTTGTTCAGTAGCATGTTGTTCAGTCTCCACATGTTTGTCTCTTCTCCAGCTTTTTTCTTGTAGTTGATTTCTAGTTTCATAGCATTATGATTGGAAAAGATGCTTGATATGATTTCAGTCTTTTTAAATTTATTGAGGCTTGACTTGTTTCCCAGCATAGGGCATATCTTTGAGACTGTTTCATGTGCTCTTGAGAAGAATGTATGTTCTGCTGTTTTGGGATGGAATGTTCTATATATGTCTATTAAGTGCATCTAGTCTCGTTTTTCATTTAAGTCCACTATTTCCTTGTTGACTTTCTGTCTGAATGATCTATCCATTGATGTAGATGGGGTGTTGAGGTCCCTACTATTAATGTGTTGCTGTTAATTTCTCCTTTTAGGTCTGTTAGTAGTTGCTTTATATACTTTGGTGCTCCTGTGTTAGGTGCATATATATATTTATAAGTGTTATGTCCTCTTGGTGGAGTGTCCCTTTAATCATTATATACTACCCTTCTTTTTCTCTCACTGCCTTTTTTATCTTGAAGTCTACTTTGTCTGATATAAGTATGGCAACACCTGCTTTCTTTGGTTGCCGTTAGCTTGGAGTATTGTCTTCCATCCCTTCACTCTAAGCCTGTGTTTGTCATTAGAGTTGAGATATGTTTCCTGGAGACAGCATATTGTTGGGTCTTGTTCTTTAATCCATCTAGCTACTCTGTGTCTTTTGATTGGAGAATTCAATCTGTTTATATTTAAAGTGATTATTGATATAAAGGCTTAATACTTCCATTTTATCTCTTGTTTTCCAGTTGTTCTATATTTCCCTTGTTTCTCTGCCCTTGCATTTCAGGTTTTGTGTGATGGTTTTCTCTTTATTTATGATTTGTGGCTCCACTCTGATTTTTTGTTTAGTGGTTACCATGAGGCTTCTATAAAATATCTCATAGATATGATAGTCCATTTTAAGAAGAAAGAGCCTAAGCAGCTTCCATTAGCCTAAGCAGGTTCCATCCCTTACCTCTTCCTCATCTAAGTTATTGTTTTCACAAATTATTCTGTTTTGTATTGTGAGTTTATGATTAAAATGAAGTGTTTACATTTATTTTTGATGCTTCCCTTCCCTTTATCTTTTATGTTATAATTGTTTGCTACCCTGCTCTGATAGAGAGCTGCAATTTTCTGGTTTTGTCCATTTATGTATCTTCTTGCTCAAGGCTTTGTGAACCTTTGCCTTTTTGTTTCAGGCATGAGGGCATCCTTGAGCATTTCTTCTAAGGGAGGTTAGTGGCAATGAACTCCCTCAGCTTTTGTTTATCTGGGAAAGTTTTTATTTCTCCATTGTATCTGAGGGATAGTTTTGCTGGATAGAATATTCTTGGTTGGATGTTTGTCTTTCAGTATTTTGAATGTATCATTTCATTCTCTCCTAGCCTGTAAGGTTTCTGCTGAGAAATCTGCTGAAAACCTGATGGAGGTTCCTTTGTAGATCATTCTCTACTGCCTTGCTACCCTTAATCTTTTTTCTTTGTCATTGATTTTTGACAGTTTTGCTATTATACGCCTTGGAGAAGGTCTTTTTGCATTGATGTAATTAGGAGTTCTATTGGTTTTATATAGTTGTAAGTTCATTTTCTCCCCCAGGTTTGAGATGTTCTCAGCTATTATTTCTTGAAACGAGCTCTCTGCTCCTTTATCTCTCTCTTCTTCCTCTGGAATACCTATAATCCTTATGTTGCATTTCCTAATTGAGTTGGATATTTCTCAAAGAATTTCTTTATTTTTTTTGTAAGTCTTAGCTTCTCTCTTCCACCTGAAGCATTTCTATATTTCCGTCCTATAAATTACTAATTCTGTCCTCCATAATGTCAGCTCTGTTTTTTCAGGTTTCTAGATTGTTTTTCAAATCTCATTCATTGTGTTCTACATCTCCAGAATTTCTGTTTAGTTTTTTTTTTTTAGAGTTTCAATCTCTTTTGTGAAGAATTTCTTCTGCTCATTAATTTTATTCATGAGTTCATTGAACTGTCTTTCTGAGTTTTCTTATAAGTCATTGAGTTTCTTTGTGTCTGCTACTTTGAATGCTCTGTTATTTAGATTGCAAATTTCTGTGACTTCAAATTGGTTTCTAGAGACTTGTCATTTTCCTTCTGCTCTGGAGTGTTAATGTAGTTCTTGATGGTGTTTGACCAAATGATCCTCTGCTGCTGCCTAGTGGTGGTATCAGGTCATGGATTCCACCTGCCACCGCTGCGGGGGTCAGGAGCTGTGTTGTCTGAACCTGCTGTGTCTGCTGGAAGTTGTGTGACAGGGCTTGTCTGCATTTGCCTGCTGGCCGCAGCCACTTGGTGGGTCACACACTCATGTGCAGGCACTCTGGTGTGGATCCACTGCCTTGGCCAGAGACAGGCCAAGCTGGTGTGCTAGGCTGGCGGGGAGGGGTGCTTTCTTTCATGCACAGGCCTGCTCGGCACCCACGGGCGGTTTGCCTGGCCTGCTGTGCTTGGTGGGGGTGCCCACATGGTGGCTGAGCTGTACCACTCAGTGTAGAGTGTTCCTGCAGGTTGGGCTGCCACTGCAAAAGCAAAAGTGTTCGCCTGCAGGCCGGCCCATTCCTTTGCCTCCTCCTACAACTGCATGCCAGCTGTTGCATGAGGACCTATGACCTAGATCGCTGCCAGTGGGGAGGGGGAGGGATCTGCTCACCTCCTTCCATTGCTTCCTAGGGATCCAGTACCCCCACTTTCAGATGTATGGCTGCATGGATCTCTCAAACATCCTATTGTGCTTTGTAGGGAATCTTCTGTTGGTTAATGAATATCCATTTGGTTGTAACTTATCGGAGAGAGACTAAGGGAACAGCTCACTCCACCATGATCCTGACGTCACTCCCTCCAGTTGTGGCTTCTTATAGTAAAGCAAGATTTCGAAGCTACTTGCCAACCTGTTCTAAGGATGGAGTTTCCTGGGTTCCATTTCATTCTGTCTTTTACAGTCTATTCACTCTCATCTAATTCAAAAGTATTTTTAAGAAATTGGCCTTGATCAAGTCTTTTGAAAGTATCCAACTTAGTTTTTAAAGAAATTTTGTCTCTATTTTGATGCACGTTTAATTAGGGAAAGTAATCAGTTAATCAAACCATGTAATTATGATAACAAGTACAATGGGCATAGACAGGACTGGGAACAAACGCGAGGCAGTCCTGGTAAGTCCAGGTGGAGCTGAGAGGGCAGGCCAGCTGGGGAGAGCCCTGGCCGTCAGTGTTCTGTCTTCCCTTGACATCCGTCATTGGTTTCCTCGAGGGAACCGAGGAGGTGGTCTATCTGGTCAGTGAGACGAGTGGAGTTCAGTTGCATGTGAAGTTACTTTCTTTGCTCTAAAGAGCTCTACAAATATCAGGTGCTGTTGATGTCTATTTATCCAATATTATGGAGTATCTACACTGTACCAGACATAGAGTTAGTTCTAGGGGTCAAAGATGACCAAAACCTGACCCCCGGAGTTCACTGAGCCACCATGTTAACAGGCCATGGCCTCAAAGCTCCTGTGGCCCACACTCCCCCAACTCTCTCTGCTGTGGACCTTGTTTTCTAGAACCCAGTCATCAGCCAGTTCTTCCCAACCCTCCTCCTGTGGTCCTTCTCAGCCCTGCTCCCGACCATCGTGTACTACTCTACACTGCTGGAGTCTCACTGGACCAAGTGAGTGCCTGGGAGCTCAAGGCCCCTCCCCTGAGAAGGATGTCTCTGATGCTCCCCTCCACGGGCAATGAGCACACAGCAGGGCCCTTACTGGGGACACCTGGAGAATGTGGGGGACTTTGAGGGCTCACCTCTGACTTCCTGCAGGTCTGGGGAAAACCGGATCATGATGACCAAGGTCTACATATTCTTGATCTTCATGGTGCTGATTCTGCCCTCTCTCGGCCTCACCAGGTACACGTCACTGCCTCCTGCTCTCATTTCAGAATCAGGGTTGCATCTGGAGAGCACTGTCCCCATGAAAATAGAAATGGTTTGGGACTGGGTGCAAATCTCTAACAATATTTAAGCCTGTCACGCCCACTTGGAGTGCAGGTGCGCTGGCCCACTGATTCTTCTGGAGATGGATCTTTCTTGCTTAGAAAAAAGCTTAAAAATAAAACTTATCACAGATTTTCTACTTAGGTGGAGGGTCTAATCCTGGCTTTATTTCTCAGGAAGAAAGTTTCTGTTAAAAAAGCCCCTGATAAGTTACATTGTAGTACGTAGCATCTTAGAGAACAAATGTAGATTTTCAGATATGGCCTGTTTTTCAGAGCAGGAAAAAATGAAAACGTGTGTCGTGATCACAGGGAGTGTTGGAAATAAACCCTTACGGGATTCATTTTTCTTTCAGTCTGGATTTTTTCTTCCGATGGCTCTTTGACAAAACTTTCTCAGAGGCCTCTGTCAGGTTGGAGTAAGTATCAGCCACGTTGAGTTTCGGAGCCATGGTCTCGGGTAAATGTCCCAACGGAGGCGCCAGCTGGGGCTGCACTGGGGGAGGGTGGTCTGTGTTTCAGAGCAGACATCTTCCTCCCCAAGACCACAGGGCTGGGGCTTCCCCACCACCCCTACCACGTTCCCGGCTGGGATGCACCAGGCAGAGCCTTTGGCTGCCCCACGGGAGCTGACCACTTTGTGCTATGTGTGCAGAAATGTGGTTAATTTTTTAGGCCACAACTCAATCAGTGGCAGTCTCGTTCTTTGAAACTTACTTACTGAGAACAGGGCCACTGGGGGGGAAGGGGTTGCTGGGTCTCAGTGGTGTGGGGGATGGGGAGGGAGAATGAGGTTTAAACATTGCCACCAGAATGGCCGTCTGCACTCGGGATTGTTTTTGCTAGGAGAATGGAGTTAAATTTCTTGCCTATGTGGGTCCTCGTTAGTATTTTAAGCTTGTACCACACCCACGCAGGGGAGGAAAAGTTTTTCCTTCTTCCCTTCTAGGTTCTTTGGCTGGTCTAATAATTGAATTGACGTAAGACAGATTAACAGGAGAAAAACAAATATAATTTCGTACGCATGGGAGCCCTTAAAAATAGGAGACTTGAAGTGACCAGAGCAGGCAGCTCTTAGACCTTTTAGACAAAGAAACAATAAATTTGTAAAGAATTGACAAGATAAAGGGGTTCGGACTTGGGATAGCAAATTAGTGAAGAAGTAACGAGGTTTGTTTGTAGAGTATTCTGGGCCCTTAAACCCCCTGTCTCTGGGGATGAGGATGCCTTCTGCCCTCCTGGAGCAGGGCGGGTGATTCATATGGGAGAGCTCCTGCTTCTGGGGACAAAGGCAGGTCAGAGGGTCCTTCCTGTACCAGCTGCTTCTTAAGTAACTTTAATTCAAAATAATCAATATGCCAAAGTGGCACATTTTTTTTTTTTTTTTTTTTTAAAGATTTTATTTTTTCCTTTTTCTCCCCAAAGCCCCCCGGTACATAGTTGTATATTCTTCGTTGTGGGTCCTTCTAGTTGTGGCATGTGAGACGCTGCCTCAGCGTGGTCTGATGAGCAGTGCCATGTCCGCGCCCAGGATTCGAACCAACGAAACACTGGGCCGCCTGCAGCAGAGCGCGCGAACTTAACCACTCGGCCACGGGGCCAGCCCCCAAAGTGGCACATTTTGTGGTGGCGTATTCTGCTCCCCTTCACCCACTTAACAGTAATACCTGTTATTAAGGAAGGCACCGTGCCAAATGCTTTATTCTTTTCTCCTTTGACCTTTACAACAAGCCGTGAGGTAGATACTCTGATTCTCTCCATTTTACAGATGAGAAGACTGAGGCCCAGAGATGTGGAATAACTTGCCCAAGGTTGTCCAGCTAGTTAAGAGAGAGCTGGGATTCAACCTCCGCCCTTCTTGCTGTATACTGTAGGTCCCAGTATAGGCCCTCCTGCTCGGGACTGACTTTTCCAACGGGCTGTTTATAGGGAAGGCTGGCCATGCTCACCTAGAAGGATTCAGTGAATTATTTTAAATGGGTTCTTGCTGGAAAGCTGATGACTCGGGAGCTGGTAGCCACAGACAGACACAGGTACCCCCAACCAGCTCTTGTCTAGGTTGACAGTGACTTCCAGGTTGCCAGATCCAGTGGTCAGCTCCCAGTCCTCGTCTTATGTGATCTATCGGCAACATCTGACACCTTCATTGCGCCTTCCTCCTTGAAACACTGTCTTCACTCAGCTCTGGGTCTCCCCTCCTCTCTCTCCCATCCCACGCGTCTCCTTCTCAGCCTCCTTGGCGGCTCCTTCTGCATCTCCTTGGGCTCTAAATACAGGCTGTCTGAGGGCTCCGGTCAGTCCTCGATCCACTCCCCCTCTGCAGGTGACCTCAGCTAGACCCATGGCTTTAATGCCACCTGACAACCCCTGAATTATAGCTCCAGCCTGCACCTGCAGACTCCCACATGCAGTGGTCTGCCGTGGCCCCACTTGGAGTTCTGCTGGGCATCACAGACTTCACCTGCCCCAAACCAAACTCCTGACTTCTATCCCCAAATCTGCTGCTCCCACACATTTCCCCCACCCGTTACTCTGGTTTTCCAGTTGCTCTGGCAAAACCTTGGAGTCCTCCCTTTCTCCTCTCTTCCCTCCATCAGCACGTCCTGACAGTTCTGTCTCCAGGATGGATCTAGAATCCGACCATGCTCACCTCCCCCACCACAGCCGCCCTCGTTCTGCACATGAGGTCAGCAGTGGCCGTGTGTGGTCTCCTGGCCCGTGGCTCCCTCCCCACAGCCAGAGCTGCTCCGGGCGGCCTGCACGCCTGTCCACCTCACCCCCCTGCCCGCCCCGCCCCGCCCGTTGTTCCACTGACGTGCCAGGCGTGTTCTTGTATCTGTTGTTTCCTCTGCTTGGAATGCTTTCTCCCCAGGCTTCTAGATGACTCTCTCTTGCCCTCCTCCATGTCTCTGGCAAATGTCACTTCATCAGCAAGGCCTCTCTGACCGCCCTGTGCAGCCTAGTGAGCACTGCCCGCCCTGCTTCCTGTCCGCTGCAGCACCTAGGACACCTGGCGTGCTGTGTATCCCCTGGATGTGCGTCCCTAGCTAGGATGTGAGCTCCAGCAGTGCGGGGGCAGGGTCTTATTTTATTCTCAGGGTCTAGAACAGAGCCTGGCACATGTGTGTGCTGCCTACACGTACCAACTGAAGGATGAGCATCATCTCAGGGACTTGCTGCTTCTGCCCGGCCGAGGGGCCCTCTCCTCCCGTGGGAAGGAGCCTCTCGGGGCTCTCAGCTCACACCCGCTGGTCCCCAGGTGCGTCTTCCTGCCCGACCAGGGCGCCTTCTTCGTGAACTACGTCATCGCCTCAGCCTTCATCGGTGGCGGCATGGAGCTGCTGCGGCTGCCCGGCCTCATCCTCTACACCTTCCGCATGATCATGGCCAAGACGGCCGCCGACCGCAGGAACGTGAAGCAGGTGCGGGCTGGCAGGGCGGGCAGGGCTCCCCTCCCTCTGGAGCTGCCACCGCGGCACTTCCCCAGGCACCGTGCTGCGTGCTTCTCATCAGGGGTGCAGGGCCGCCTCTGCAGGGGGCGAGGTAGGAGAGCCTGCGTGAGTGTGGCATGGTTTCACGATTCTCCACTCACACTCACAGGCTGGAGGAGAGTTGGGAATTTTGCACTTTAACCAGTCTGATCACACACATCCGTACAACTGAAGTCCACGAATGCCTTTTCCAGGGGCAGTCATTTGCATAAACTCTTAAGATTACCGCAGAGGTCAAAGGCATTTTGGGCTGCGGGCATTTGTTCTGAGATTCCCTAAACTGGGTGGCGTGGGTTCTCTTACTCTCCTTTGCCATTGTGGGCACCGTGCGCGGGAAGCTGGAGAAGCTATGCACTCTTTCGTTTATCCTCAGCACCCCTAGGAGATGGGCGCTGCTGGTACCCTACTTTGCAGATGCACAGACTAAGCCATTGGGAGGTTAAGCGCTTGGCCCAGGAAACACGGCTTTAAGGGGCAGAGCTGATGTTGGGTCTGATGCCGAAGTCTGTGGGGGGATCACTCTACAGTCTCTCCTCAGACACATCCTCTCTGCCCTCCAGAGGCTCAAGGGCTGGTTGGGTTGACATGATTTGAACAAGACAAACACTAAGAAAACATAAATTACTGTACCTTGGGAGGTCTGGGTGTGAGCTGAGGGAAGCTGGAGAAGGCTTGTGGAGGGATAGAAAGGACCTCAAGAAGTGGGGGTAGCTGTGAGTCTCCCATTTCCACAGTCCTTCTCCACGCTGCTCTCCCCTTACCATCTGGAGGGCATGAAGGGGGATTTGGGTGGAACAAGCTTGTGAGCTCCTCACCACCACCTCCTCCCAGAACCAGGCCTTCCAGTACGAGTTCGGAGCCATGTATGCGTGGATGCTCTGCATCTTCACTGTCATCATGGCCTACAGCATCACCTGCCCCATCATCGCACCATTCGGTGAGTGGCCCTGGAGCTGGACTCAGGGTGGGTAGGATGGCTGATTCTGCCAAGCCCCCCAGGGACAGGCATCACCAGGGCGTTATGGAGACCCACCAACAGAGGACCTCATGTAGCTACAGGAACCACAAACTGCCAAGGAGACACACGGGACACCAAATTTAATTTCACTTCTCATGAATTCCTTCCACGAGTCTTCCAAATGATGGCCTCTCTCAGTACTTCTGGTCTGAGGCTCTCTGCCAGCTGACTACTTCATTCCTGGTCGATTCTCCAGCAGCAACTGAGACAGTGCCAGCAGTAATGATCGAGGCTCAGTTTGTGCCCTCGCCCTGGCTGGTCACCATTGCACTCCACACGGATCACCACACTTAATGCTTATGCAATCGTACAGGGCAGGTCTTGTTTCTGTGTCCTTTCACAGATGAAGCACTCAATATTCTGTTAGTGAGTAGAGCCAGGCTATGAATCGGACTGTTTGACTTTAAAAGCCAAAGGCTTGCAACTACAGTCATGTGCCCCATAGCGACGTTTTGGTCAAGGACGGACCACATGCACGATGGTGGGCCCATATGATTAGTACCATGGGTTGGCTGACCATAGCCTGGGTGTGTAGGAGGCTCTACCATCTAGGTTTGTGTAAGTACATGCTATGATGACGCATGTACTTCCGTCCTCACATGAAGCTGGAATCAGCTAACAACACATTTCTCAGAACGTGTTCCTGTCGTTAACCGACCCATGACTGTAAAAGAAAAAATCAGGAACTGGCAGAAAAATGGACACCTCTGGAAGCAAACAGAACACCCAAGAGACTGTTGATAGTGACATCTGAGGTTTAGGGGTAGGAGGAAGTTTCACTTTTCCTTGTATATTCTCTTGTACTATTTTAAAAATCTACAGTATCACTTTTTCAAAACAAAAAGATTTTCAAAAGAAGCTGACATAATAGAAAAGGCAGCACCCCTGTTCTGTGCTGCCGCTGCAGTCAGACAATTGGGCATCTGTTGACTGGGATGAGCGCAGGGGTCACCTTGTGGGGGAGAGGGCAAGGGGACTGGGAGCACTGAGGGATGGGGGGCTCAGCATGGGAGGGTTCCAGACCCCTGGGTGTAAGATAGCGTCTTTCCCCAAAATGATCCTAGCATTTCAGTGTTCCATGGGGACAGAATCACAGATACCTCGACTCCTTGGGGTCAGAAAGAGGCCAGGAAGGGGGAGGCGGAAGTGGAGGGGGGAGGGAAAGGAAGGGGAGGGGAGGGGAAGGGAGAGGAGAGAACATTAACAGCCAGGATAGGCATTTCTGCATTTAGCCCAATTCCGGGTTCAGGAGGTCAAAGAGCAGCCCGAGCCCCAGTTCCATGCACAAACAGCACCCCCAGGAGGAAGGGGGCGGAGGGGCCCTTGAGACCCAGCCGGGTCCCCAGCTCACAGCCCCGCCTCCGCAGGCCTCATCTACATCCTGCTCAAGCACATGGTGGACCGGCACAACCTCTACTTCGCCTACTTGCCAGCCAAGCTGGAGAAAAGGATCCACTTTGCGGCCGTGAACCAGGCTTTGGCTGCCCCCATCCTGTGCCTCTTCTGGCTCTTCTTCTTCTCCTTCCTGCGCCTCGGTGAGGGGCCCTGCTGACCTGGGGGGGCGGGGAGGGCAGGAGGCAGACCGCTGCCTCACATTCCAGCATCCACGCCAGTCACTCAAATCCCTCACTGCTGTAATAGCTTCAACTCAGTATCCAATCAGAAGGTGGTACCAGCATGAGGGCTGGTTGGGTGTCCAATGACAACATGGTACTCAGGGTGAGGACTGACATTGGGTGCAGATTGACAACCCAGTTTATGAGCTGGCCCAAGCTCAAGTGTAACCCTGGTGAAGGCCAGGTCGATTTTCCCAGACAGGCTTAGAGAGAAAACAGTCCCTTTATCAGCTATGAAGGGGCTGAACCAGGGGAGATGGGAAGCTGGTCCAGATTGCTTTTGGGGGTGTGGATGGGCTCAGGTGCTCACACCTCACAGTGTGGAGGGGGTGGGGGCACACAGGAGGGAAAGCTGACACTCTCGGGGAAAAAGAAAAGGGCAGAAGAGATGTGTGACTTGGCCCCGGTCGGGTGGGGGAGCCTCCATCCTACCTGGCCGGGGACACTGGAGACTGGAGGAAACTGGCTCAGCAAGGAAGTCGGCAAATAGCCACTGACTTGGTGTCCCAGGGCCTGAAATCTGGCCAGGGATAATGCCACCCTTCATGGGTCACTCTGTGCTCCTGGCTGTGAAGACGCCATCCCAGCTGCTGGAGGGGGGCGGGGGGACTCCTTCTCTTTATTTCCTGCCTGAGGGAGCAGTCACACACGGCTCCTGCGCCAGGGTGGCCCCTCTTCCTCAGCAGGGTGAGGGCCAGTGGCAGCCCCTTCCCCCCCCCAAGCTGGCATCCTTTTGTCCCCAGGTCCGATGGCCCCCCCCACCCTGTTCAACCTCCTGGTCGTGCTGCTCACCATCCTCGTCTGCCTGGCCTACACCTGCTTTGGATGCTTTAAGCACCTCACCCCTCTGAACTACAAGGTAAAGCCCCTCCCCCACCGCTGCCCAGGGCGACCTGGGAGGAGACGGTGGGTTCACCCTCCCCTGCTCCTCCACCCTTTCTCATGTCAGCATGTCATCAACAGCCTTCTCCCGGGTTTTATTTATCCCCGGGGAAGGCGTGGGCCGTTGCCCCTATGTGTAGCTCCGCCCCCACCCCTTCCCCCCTCCCGGCACTGCCGCCCCATCCTCTCTGGGGCTGCCGCTGGGAGCCTGGTGCCAGCTGGTTCTATTATTCTGGGTGTGAACAGTCTGTTTGTTTGGAGGGTGTTAGTTGAGGAAGATCAGTTTTGTTTGTCATTGCAAGTTTTTGCTGTTATCTGCAGACAGAAGAATCAGCAAGTGACAAAGGAAGCGAGGCAGAAGGCAATGTGCCTGCACCCTTCACAGTGAGTTGTGGTTCTCACCTGGGCGCCGAGCCCTTGCAGGGTCCGACACATGGGCCTGCAGACATGCTCTGATCATTCTTGTTAAGGTAGAAGTCCCTTGATCACCTGGCAGGCAAGTTTCTGAATTCGTGTCATTTTACAAGGATTCCCTAGTCCCGCTCGATGTTTTACCTCGTGTATGTGAAGCCACAGCTGCCCCTGAGAAGATAATTAGTTTTACCATGATGCATGCCCATCCCCCTTGGTTTCTCTGCCCTGCTCACTGGTCTGCTCTGCCTGCTTAGTGCCTGGTGAGGGCCGGCCTTCGGAGAAGCAGTATGGCAGGCCCTCTGGCCTGATGAAGCTCCATCATGAGATTTCCCCAGCCCCTGCCTGTGGGAGGGCCTCTGCCTGGCACCAAGAGGGTGCCACCAACTCCCCTTTGAATTCAACAAATGAACCTTGCCCCTGCCTTGGAGGAGGGCGCCGTGTTAGGAAGACACCAGGACTCCTTTCCTTCCTGATCCTCCCTTTTTCCTGCCTCCAGCACCTGCTCCTAGGGCGGGGCTGGGAAAGGAAAGCGGAGCCATGGGACCCCAGGGCTGTGACCGCAGGCTTCCTGACAGACCCAGGGCCAGGACAGCGGCCCATCTCAGCAGCAGCGTTCTTTCCAGTGTCAGGCACTCTTATCAGTGTCTGTCCTTGGACCAGCCCCAGAGGAGAGGGTTCTCAGAAGGATTCATTACCCAGAGGCTCCTGGGTGTGATGTGCGCACCAGACAAGGGACGAGCAGGACAGGTGGATGATGGACATCCCTCAGCCGCAGCCTGTCTGCCCTGCCCGGCAGCTGCAGCCTGGGACTGAGAGGAACCGTAACTTCCATGGGTCCATTCAGCTTCCCGGAAGTTCCACCAACAGCATGCTAAGCCTGTCCCAGATGGATAGACCTGTGTCCTATATAAAGCGAGGAATCTAGAATGCAGTGCTAGGAAGGTTTTGTTTTCTCTGGGAAATCAGTGTGCTTCCTTTTCTGTGATCCCGAGAACTGGGTAAGTGACTGTGTTCTCTGATTAGCTCTGGCTGCTCGGAAATCCTGCCGTTGGCATATTTTGGGTCCCGACGTTCTAAGTTGATGTTATTTCTTTGTGTCCTGTCTGAGCATTGTTCGTGTCCCCCTGCTGGAAGGGGAGGGCAGTGGGGGAGGGTGGAATCTGGTGGCCACCCCACCTGAGCACTGACACCCCATTTGCCTGCAGCCCTATGTGCCCCGGATTCTGAACAGCTTGGCCTCTGAGAGAACAGCCTTGTCCCCGCAGCAGCAGCAGACCTATGGCGCCATCCACAACATCAGTGCGACCATCCCGGGGCAGGGCCTGGCCCAGAGTCCTGCGGCCGAGGTGGCGGCTGCCCTCCAGGAGGCCTGAGGGCGGTGAGCTTCAGGATGGGCCAGGCTCCAGGAGCTGGGAGGTGAGGAGACAGAGGCGGGGAAGCAGCTCGACTCCGACGCCAACCTGGACTTCTTTCCACCTGCTTTCAGCCGCACAGCTCTGAACAGATGGGACCAGGAAGGGGCTCAGGCCCTTGGCTGATGGGGGAGGGTGGGACTGCTGTTGGTGGTGGTCTTTTCTGGTCACAGCAGCCGAGAAGGGAGTCCATGCAGCTCCGTCGCCTGAGGCTGTGCTCATTTCCAGTCCACCTTCTGCACCAGCGTTGAGCTCGAGCTGGGGTGATGTCCCCCGTGATTTTTAGCCACGATCATGTTGGAATTGTGCCCCTCCAGACCCATTACCTCTGATGACTGTGTCAGGTACCAGGGAGAAAGTAACAAGTGGAAAACCTCCCTTCTGAGTGCCCAGACCCCACCTACCCTTTCTGGGCACACACAGCGCCTGATGAGCAAAGAGCCTACAGCAGTCCCGGGCCTGAGACGGGGCCAGATGACACCGGGGCTCATTCCCTCTGGGTATTAACCATCCACCCCGCCCCCGTCTCAGGAGTGAGCTGTGGGGACAGGAAGGGAATGGGCCAGTGCTGGGCTGCAGAGGCTCCTGCAGCTGCACATGCACCTGCGCATCCCGCTATGGGTCTGTGTTCTTGTATCATGTTGCCAGTGAAGCTGTGGCTGGGTCAGGGTCGCCCTGCAGCAGGCAGGGACAATGAGGACCACTAATAAAGTGCCCATTCAGCCAGACTGGTGAGATTCAGCCTCTCCCATCTCGTCAGAGCCGAGTGCTTGGGGTGCAGTCTACATCCCTCAACCCCATCTGTCTGCTCCTTCCAAGGTGGTGGGGGCGGGGGTGCAGGGCTCAGGGCCTCCTCGGAGCCAAGGGCCGGCAGGGGAGAGGAGAAGGGGTGTCTGGGTTGGGCGCAGGGCCGCGCACCACCCTTGAGCTGTAAGCTGGGAAGGAAGGACAGGCAGCCGGTTGCCTTCTCTGTCCCCCTGTGATTCCCGGGGCTGGGAAGCCGCTTTGGGCGCTTGCGCGAGAGCCGCTTCCCTACAGCCCCCAGGGGGCGCCAGAGGCGCGAGTCGGCGCGGTCGGCGCGGCAGTGCGGCCGAGTCCTCCATCCCCCTGCAGACCCCGCCTCGTGGTCCTCAGCCTCGGCCTCTGCTCCCAGCGGCCCCGGGCACTGGGAGGCGGTAAAGCGGCTTCCTGGTGCCGCAGCGGGCCTGTCCTACCCTTCCCAGCGAGGGCGGGGGACCCCCCTCCCCATGCCGGATGCAGACCCGCTGGCTCCGCGGGAAGGGGAGCCCCACGTGGGGTGGCGGCACGCGCCCATCATTTGGTTCCAGCCACTTTTGGAAGTAAAATCATTTATCGTCAAAGCCACGTTGCTTAACACGTGTGTGTTGGGGGTGGGGTGGGCGAGTGCGCGTGCAGGCAGTGAGCACGGGGTGCCAGCGTGGGCAGGGAACAGAAGCAAACTCATTCTCAGAAAAAGGGCCTCTGCACCGAGAGAAAACTGGGAGGCCGCCCCCTTGGCAGCCCCACTCCCTCGGGGAGCAGGCCCTGGGAGAATGGGGGCATCCAGCTGAAGCGGCAGGGGTCGGCGAGGGACCTGCCACGCGGGCGTCACTGCCGCTCCAGCAGCCCGACGAACTTGCGGATGTCCTGAGCCAGCAGCTGTGGCTCCTCGAAGGCGGCGAAATGGCCCCCACGGGGCATGTAGGAATACGAGATCAGTTTCGGGTACTTGAACTTCACCCAGTTTTCCGGGGCGTGCAACAGCTCACACGGGAAGGCAGCAAAGCCGGTGGGCACATAGACCTTCATCCTGGGTGGGACAAAGATCCCACAGAGGGGTAAGGCTGCGGCCGGCCCCCTCCCCGTCCCCGCCGCAGAGGGTTCAGGGCCTGGGGGAGGGTGAGCTCCCCACCCGAGGGAAGACATAAAGGGAAGGATAGCCCCCGGGTTTAACCACCCCCCTCAATTCCCAGCCACCAAGGGCCCTCTTTTCTGGAAGGGCAGCCCAGGCAGGGGAGCAATAGAGGACAGGCCCAGAGTGGGTGGGACAGCCTCTATTGCGCCTTTCCCTTTGCTGTCGTCTGAGGGTCTCCACATGGGGTTTGGAAAGGGTGCTGGGGAAGTCCCAGACCATCAGTGCCACACCAGGCCAGCACCCTGGCCCTGGGGGAGGCCTGAATGACATCTAGGTGCCCCCTGTCCCTCCGTGAGCCAGTTCTCAAGGCACAGGGATTTCTCCGAGCTCCTCGACCTTCTTCAGATGGGGTTCTCATTCTCTGCACCCTGTGCACACCGCAGGCAAGGTTGTACCTCTCCCGCATCAAGTGCCCTCCCTTGAGTGCAAAACTGGGTGGACCCTGCCCCGGCCTCAGAGGCCCCTCCTCAGAGGCCACACTCCAGCTGCGCTCACCGCTCGTGCTTGTGGGCCATGTAGCCCTGTCCCAGGTTCTCCTTGTAGAAGCGCTGGGAGGAGGTGATGCTGCCCGTTGTCCAGTAGAGCATGATGTTGGTCAGCAGGTCATCCAGGGAGAACTTCCTGGGAAAGCAGAAGTGGAAGGCCACTCTCAGTGCCACAGGCAGTTGTACGAGAAACAAGAGCTGCCACCTTCAGACTGGGAGCATGTGCCAGGTGCCTGCCTGTCTCGCTTCCCTCCCCAGACCACACTGCGGTCGGGGTATTATCCCTGTGATGCAGGTAGGCTCGTCCCAGAGTCACCACGACGACAGGTAATGCAGTGCTGACCACATACGAGGCAGGCAACGCTGGCTGTCCGCGTCATCCTGGGTGGTGTCAGCTGACTCCCTCCCGCACCGGCCCCAGAGGTTCGGCCCAGGTGGGAAGGAGCAGATGAGGTCAGGTGAACCCAGGGGCTTTGGGCTGGTCTCTGCCCAGTGTCCAGCAGGACTGAGAGCAGGATGCTGCTGCCCCTGCTCAGAGCTGGTGCCCACTCCTGGCCCTCGGTGCAGGCCGTCCTCAGAGCATCCTCAGGCAGGCCTGCCCCTGCCCAGCCCTGGGCAGACGCTTGTCTCCAGCAGCCTTTGGAGCCCCTGGACTGGCCCTGGCCAGGCACCAGGAGCAGCAGGGCAGCACTAGGGGCTCCTGGGGCATTTTTATTCCCATCTCTGGCTTGTCAGCGTGCCTCCCACCAAACCTGCGTCACCGCAGGAGTGAGCTCTGGGACCCTGCAGAGACCTCTTCCCTCAGCGTGGGACACCCCTTTTTTCCTCCAGCCTGGGCACTGCTGAGCAGGCAGGCCCCCAGTCCAGGAAGAAATAATCCTTTGGCCCTCACCATTGGAGCACGTGGTCTGCGGACCCTGGAAAGCCCCACGTTCTCCTGGCCCTGCCCGCCCTCAGGCTCTCTCCTCTCCTGGTGCTGAGCTCCCTCACCCTCGGCACCCAGAGCCCCCTGGAGCCCTCCATGGCCTCCCCATCCGTCCACTTCAGCTGCCCACCGGATGAGCTCCTGGGCCTCCACTTCTCCCCTCTGCCCCCCGCCCCCGACTCACCTTCCTCCATTCTCAGCCCTGCTCCCCGGAGTAACCCCACGCACCCCAGACCCTCTAGCTTCCATGACATCACTCACCCCTTCACTGCCCTCATCCCTGTGGCCTCTGCCACCCAGGACCCACCCAACAGTCCACAGACCCGAGGGGACTCCAGCCCAGCTGACAGGTCCCTTACAACCATGCTCTCCAGTCTCTGCTGCCACCTCCTCGGAGCATCCCAACCCTCGGTGGGTCCTGATGGCCATGTGCCCACCCACAGCCTCCCCCTTCCCTGCCTTCCTCTCTGAGGAAACGCAAGTCCTTGAGCAGCTACCCCCCAGGCCCTTCCCTGCTTCACCAGGTGCCTCCTGGTCCTGGGCCTTCATCCCCCGTCTGCCTGCTCGGGTCCAGCTCTGTGGGTCCCCTCCTCCCTCCACCGCCCACAGTCTAAGCGCCAAATGTCACTGCAGGCCTTCCCCCCCGCCCCCCGACTCCATGCCCGTCCTCTCTCTGCTGCCCGCCCCCCCGCCCCGCTCCATTCCCTGTGGACACTGAAACCGTCCGCCTGCGACAGCCCTGCCCAGGCTTCATGGGGGGGCCTCTCACTGGGCTGTCCTCCCGGACTCTCTCTCTCCCTTTGGGGCCTCCTGCAGCCAGTCAGGCTTCTCCCAGCAGCCCTGATGCTGCTCTGTCTACACCCTGTCTGAGCACATCTATCCCACAGTTCCAACTGCTAATTCACCAAGAGCACGGAGCTCCGATTTGACCCCACACCTGAGCTCCAGATCCGTGAGTCCAATCACCAAGTGGACCTCTCCTCCTGCACATCCTGCCAGCGTCTCCCTCTCAGCAGGTCTGAGACAAAATGAGCTCTGCATCTCTGCCAAGCCCCCCCGGACACTACGTGCACACACACACTCATCCATGCAAGTGCACTCGCACATGTGCACACTCACATGCGTGCACACACTGTGTGCAGACACTTCCACATCCAAATGCACACACACCCACTCACAGGGGCTCCCCTCCTCAACCTCTCCTCCCTGCTTGGTGAATGGCATCTCCAGCCCCGGCAGCTGTTAGAAACCTCCGTCACTGTGGACGCCTCCCTCTCCTGGCCCCACCAAGCCCCAGCTGTCCTCACGCCCTTTCCCACCCATCCCCTCACAGGAGGGGAGGCCCTGCTCCTGTCCCCGCTGCCTGGGTTAGAGACCATTTGCTGCTCCCCAGCTCTCGGGTGGTTAGTTTAGCTGGTTCTTCAGAAGCCAATTTACCAGAAATGGCCAATTTCCTGAATTTACTTGTTTGCTTCAGCCATTTAGATGCAGTTGGTCAATTCTATTTTCGTCCTCGGAACCACATTTTAAGGAATGTTCAGTCCCCCTCTGCCCTGCTCCCAACTAGGGCAGCTCAAGACGGGGACAGAGACAGGGGGTCTGAGGGGCAAAGCAGGGGCAGACAGGAAGTATGAATATTAACTAGTGGAACCTGAAGAATTTGTAAGAAGAGAGGCTTCTCAGAGATGAAGAATATAATCACGTGACATCTTCATATTTACGAATATATTCCTCTTAGTCCTTACTCCCTCCTCTCTGAAATCCGGATCTCTAGCTATAGCAGCACAGAGCAGGAACAGAGATAAAATGAGCATCTGTTTAAATGCAATTCTGATGACAAATGAAACCTGAATAGTTACCACAAACACTTGAACCTTGTGAACTGGCTTGCATCGAGTTGGCCAAATGCTCCTCCCTCCCCCGTGGCTCTGAGTGCAGCTTGAAAACCACAGCGACAGTCTGCACCTGCTGCAGTTGGTGATCTTCCCGAACACGGATCTGACTGTGCCTGTGCCCTGCTCAGAGCTTTGCTGCTCCCTGTAGCTGGGCAGGAGCTCTGGAGGGGCCCAGGGGGCAGGCCGGGGAGCCTCCCATCTGGCTCCAGGTATCTGTGCACATGGAGCACAGGCAGGCCCTCGCCAAGGTGCTCCTGGTGGCGCTCCATCGAGCCTGGTCCTGCCCAGTGGGGAGGAGAAACAGATCCCAGGGTGGGGGCTCCTGAGGCTCTTGGAGGACCTGCCTGCGGGAACAAGTTCACGGTCTGGCCCCATGTGCCTGCTCCAGCATCCAGACAACCCACTTTTTCCAAGCACACCTTACATTTTAACCACTGCTGCCATTGCTTCTGCTTTTCCCTCTGGCTAATTTCCCTTCTTCCACCCTTTCCACCCAGCAAACTCCTACTCATCCTTCAAGGCTCAGATCAGATAGATTCCCCCAGTGATTTCCCCTCCTCTTTCTCTGCACTCCCACAGTCCTTTGCATGTGTCTTTAGAGTTCATTCATCCAACAAACATTTCTTGAGCACTTAGTGTATTCCGGGCCCTGTTCCAGGGGCTGTGGCTGGGGCACAGCCCAGACAAGTCCCACCCCTGAGGCGGGACCCGGTCCCATTCAGTCTCTATTCCCCACCCCCAGCACTATGTCTGAAGGAATGCAGAGAGGCCTGGGTCCTGGAGAAGGTAGGTCAGGGCTGAACCTGATGAATCTGAGTCAGGCAGGGACCGGGGAGTCACACGCTGTGGAGGCTGCAGCCTCTAAGGTCCCGGGAGGCGGGACAGCCCCGCCCCCCAGTCTTTCTGCAGCCACCCTCTGGGATGGGCTTCCACACATGTGCACTCCTGTGGACCAGGGGTTCAGGAGGTCAGGGTCCTGACTGCACCGCCTCTTGGCAGTGAAAGGGTGCTCACTGCCCTCTGGACCCCTTGATCCCAGGAGAGCTGTTTGGAGCACAGACAGCCTCCAGCTCTGCATCGTGTTCTGGACAACCCTGCTGTGAGGCTTGTAGCAAATCACTAGGCCTCTCTGTGCCTCAGCTTCCTTATCCAGAAATCAGGGCTACACAGGTCACAGGATAAGGATCTGTGGGTCATCCCACAACACATGGAACTTGCTGACCGTCCCACCCAGATAAAGCCACCAGAGATGAGGATGGAGAGGAGGGTGATGGTGAGGAAGGTGCGGCCGGGACGGGGCGACAGCAGGGGTGGGTGGGGGCTCACCTCTCCAGGCCTCCATCCTCCAGGTCTCGGAACTCCGACTTGGTCCAGGTGGAAAACTTCTCTAGAATATAGGCGGCCAGTCCCACGGGAGAGTCATTGAGAGCGCAGCCTGGAGTGGGAAGAAGCGAGGGAGCGACTCAGGCCTGGGGCCAGGGAGCTGGGCGTCAGGACTGAGGGGTGGCATGGGCCCCCCAGAGTGGCAGGAAGCCCAAGTTGGAGCACAGCTCTGCCCCAGCTCTCAGGGTACTCCTGCGCCCCACTTACTTAACCCTCGGCCTGATAGAAGGGACAATACCTCCACTCCCTCATGGGGATTCATTCCCTATAGGGGCAGCTTCCTGCAAACTGAAGGGTCTATGACTCTGGGTTTTGTTAGACCCAAATGAGAACTATATCTGAATGCCATTTTTTAAAAGGTGGGCTTTTTGTTTATATGCTATGATTAATGAAAAATGAGAAACCACCTAGAAGTCTAAAATAGGGGATCAGTTATAAGTAAATACTGACCCACCCTAAGCTAAAATACTGGGCAGGCATTAAAAATGGCTGGGACGCCAGCACGGATGAATCTCACGAAGACAAGACTGAGCAAAAGGAGCCAGACTCAAAAGAATCCTACTGTAGGATGCCATTTCATACAAAGTGCAAAAACAGGCAGGGCCACTGTCTGTCAGACGTCAGGAGCGTGGTTACCCCGGGGCGGGGTGGTGGGTAGTGCCTGGAAGAGGCCACAGGGGCTTCTGGGCTGGTGGGTCATGTTCTGTTTCTTGACGTGAGTGCTGGTTATATGGACAGATTCCACTTAGGAACATTCATCAACCCAACTGTTCGCAAGGTCTCTTGAAGGCCGGGGGGAGGGGCGGTGGGGACGGACGAGAGGGCACAGGTGACTGGCTTTTCCGCTTTGTGCTTTTTGCGGGTTTCAATTTTTTGACACTGAACATAGATTACTTTTATCATCAGAGAAAAAAATCTGGTTTTAGAAAGCGGTATTATTATTATCATGAGCTCCTAACGTGTGTAGGAGAGACTATCATGAAAACTTTATAAATGACTCTGAAATGGGCAAAGCGACTCGTGGGCGTCCTCTGAGTGGGACTCGGAGTTACCTAGGGGACCCTTCTGGGTCATCTGATTTATTGGGGTCCCCTCTGCTCTTGTCCTCCAGCTCTTTGACAACTCTGTAAATTGTAGAAAACTGAGAGTAATGCAAACGGTTCTTGTTCATAGAGAAGCAAATGAATTTTGTCCAGAGAGTAAATCTTAGAATTTCTCATCACAGGGAAAAAAAATACTTTTTTTTCTTATATTTATATGAGATGGTGGAGGCAAACTAAACTTATTGTGGTAATCTTTTCACGTTATACATAATTCCAGGCGCGATGCTACACGCCGTAAACATATACAGTGCCGTCACTCAGTCACATCTCAAAAAAAAGCTCAAAGGAAAAAATTCTGTCCAGTGCAGATTTAGTTGATGACTAGTCTGTGCATTTTGGCAAATTTCACATCGATTAGCAAATTAATTTTAGTGTTCCTAATTGCCTTTGAACTGCTTTGTGCTGTTTTACGTTTTACCTGGTCCTTTATTAATTAATGAGTTAAAATCTACATGTGTTGACTCTGTATTTTTATCAATGTATCTTTTTAAGTGTTTTCATCTTTTTTTAAGATAATCATCCCTCAACAGGGCCCTGGGGGCAGAAATGGTTGCTGGGTCCTCCCTCACTGTCATGGGGAGCTCTCCCCAGGCGCGGGGGCACCTCTCTCCATCCCCCACAGTCCTAGAGCTGCAAGCCGCCAGGCTTCTCCTCCCCCATCGCTCTCCATCCTTCTGCTTCTTCCTGGAGGATGCAGGCTCAGGGATGGAGGAATCAAGCGTCAAACCATGAGGAGTATTGAATCCACGAAATGGAGTTGTTTGGGGACTTGACGACCGTGCGTCAACTCACTTCCGTGGCGAGATGCAGTCTATGGGTCGAAGGGGCCCGAGTTCTTCACAGGAGTTTGCAGCTGTGAGCAGCGCCCTGCCCTCACCCCCTGGGGAGGAAGGCCAGGGGCCGGGCTGCCCCAGTGCTCACCCACGGTGTCGGGCTTGGTGGCCTGGATGTGCATGTAGCCGCTCTCCCTCATTAGGCTGTAGAATATCTTCTCCTTGAAGGGGTACATCAGCTCCACATCCTTGTGGGTGTAGCCGAAAAGCCCCGCGAAATGCCGTCCCAGGGGAAGGGTCAGGGTGTAGAAACTTCTTAAAACGAAAGCCATGTTCAAGTGCAGGCCTTTCACGTGGCTGAGGGCAGAGAGGGGCGAGGTGAGGCCGGGCTGGCATCAGGGAAAGGGGGAGGGAAGAGACAGAGGAGGAAGGGGCCACCGGGCCGAGGAGCACAGAGCCAGCCCCCTTCAGCATCTGCCCCTCTGGAGGGGCCACCTGAGGTGGAGGAGCGGGTTGGGAAGAAAATACAGAGTTTCTAGAAAGTTCCAGTCAGCTCTCCCAGGGCTTGGTCCATCAGAAAGGTCCACTCTCTGACCTTCCCTTCCTCTAACAGGCGCTCTCTGCCTGGGCATCTGGCCCACAGGCACCAACCGTGCGTGACACAGAATGGAGGGAGGATCCGTGTCGAAGTGCCCCTGGTGGAGCTGAACGACAGGGGCCCCTCCCTCCTCTCCCCTGGGCCCACAAACATCCTGCCTGGCAAGGGGGTGCTCCAAGGCTCAGAGACTATGCCCAGGCAGGGCCTGGCATGCATAACCCTGCACGCTGCACAGATGTCCGCCTCATAGAGGCTGTGTGCGCACACACACACACACACACACCCCTGAAAGGGATCCTCACCTGGGCACCAGCTGGGCTATGTTGGTGCAGATCAAGGCCCCCCAGTCCCCTCCTTGAACATAGAATTCCTGGAAGCCCAGCCGCAGCATCAGCTTATAGAAGATCCTGGCAGTGGCCACGGTGTTAAAGCCTGGTTGTGAGGGGAGGAGAACAGCGTGGAGTCACTCCCTGGGTCCTCCCAGCATCCTGTGACATTCCTCATACCCGCCCTGCCCCGGGCTGAGCTAAGAGCAGCTCACAGGAGGTGAGAAGGGATCCTGGGTGCCCAGGGCCTGCCCTGGTAGAGAGGGAGAGTGAGTGGACAGCCAGGCTACGAGGGCAGGTGACGGGCTAAGGCCAGCCCCGGGGGGCCTCTGTGGGCCCACACGGCATGCGGGACTTGGTCAGCCTGGAACCGGCAGGGCCCAGAGGTGGACCTGCCCCTGCGTGATGAGCCTGGGGGAACACTAGCGTCCAGGCCCCGGAGCCAGCACTGGACAGTCGAGGCCTCGACCCTGAGAGTCGTGTCTCGGCCTGGTCCCTCGCCACCGCACTCCTCCGGTCCTGAGAGGACATGCTGGCCTTCGGGTGTGACATAAATGCCCTCCTTGCTTCTCCTCCCTCCAGTTTCAGACCCTCCTTCCTGGGACTTTCCTCTGCCCCCGCCGGCGGCCCCCTCATCCTCCCAGGAGGGACTGGTGGCTGAGGCAGGGTGTTCCGTGGCCCCCAGCAGTCCCCGTACCCTTCTTGGAGGACGCCTCTGAGAAGCCGTAGCCAGGAATGCAAGGGCAGATGACTTCAAAAACATGCTCGTCGCCCAGGCCGTGGCTCTTGGGGTCAGTGAGGAACGGGATGATCTTATAAAACTCGTAGAAGGAGCCGGGCCAGCCGTGCACCATCAGCAAGGGCTTTGGGGTGCGGCCAGAGGGCAGCTGCGGGGGCTTCACGTGGATGAAGTGGATGTCCAGCCCTAGGGGGACAGAGCAGAGTCAGGGCAGGGCAGAGGGTGCAGTCCCCAAGACGGCCCTCAGGGTCTCAGGCCAGGCTCTGCCCCTTCCGGGGCTCAGAGGGCCCCCAGAGGGTGGATCACAGTGATAACAGCAACCTTGGTTGAGCGCTTCCCCCCGGGCTCCAGCCACGTGGTGCCCTGCTCAGCCTTCACAGCCACCCTGTGAGGGGGATCCTGTCGTTACGCCCCTTTCACCCCAGAACATGAACCCGTGCAGCCAGCGCTGGGCTGCTGGAGCACCAGCACTGCTGTGTTCCCAGAGCCCAGAGCAGCCCTTGGCCCACGGCGGGGCTCAATGACCACTTGTTCAATAATTTACAAATTAGGGGAAAAGCTCTTTATATCCAGCAACAGACAATTACATAGATTATAGTTTAACCATATACTGGAATACAATACAGTCATTTAAAATGACAGTGTAAATATGTATTTATCCAACATGGAAAACAGTTCCATACATACTGCTAAGCAGTAAAAGTGAATTATCAAGTCATAGCCACCGCATGGTCCAACTTCTGTAAAGCCTCACATATATGCATATATTCGTACTGTGAGTATATGGATTCCAAAGTCTGGAAGGATAAACTACAAAAATGTAAAAAGTAGCTCTCTCTTTTTACAGAATTTCAAGTGAATCATCTTCCTTTTTGTGTCATCTGTACTTTATCATTTTTTGACAATAGAGAAATTTTTTAAAGTAGAGGGCTGGGCACCTGGAGTACCATCCTAGGCAAGGGCAACGGAATAGATCCCAGGGGCCTCCAGAGTCCCTGTGAGAGCCCCTCCCTAGGAAGTGGCCCAACAGCCCCTGGTGTGCACGGTCAACCCAGCCAGGGGGCTGTCACACCTGGAGCCCTCCGCCACAAGGGCTGACGTTGACAGCACGGTCTAGCTAAGGTTCTGGTAGAAAACAGAAAAAAATACACAAACCAAAGGGGAAAAGTCACCTATAATCTCACCATCTGAAGAGAACACTGCGTTGTCCTTCCAGACTTTTTTTAAAAAATAAATTTCATATTTTGAAATAGTTTTAGATTTATAGAAAAATAGTGACAATAGTACAGGGCATTCCCATCCACCCTGACCCAATTTCCCCTGGTATTAACACCTTCTGTTGGTATGGAACACTTGTTACATTTTGCTACAATAGATGAACCAGTACTGATAACGTTGTTATTAACTAAACTCCGAACGTTATTCAGATTTCCTTAGGGCTTTTTTTTTGTTTTTATTCATTTTTTTATTTTGTGATAGTAAGAACATTGAACATGGAATCTACCCTCCTCACAGTGTGTAAACGTGCACGACAGTACTGTTGTTATCTGTAGGTACAATGTAACACAGCGGACCAAACTTCCTAACCCTGCATAACTGAAACTTTACGCCCGTTTATCAGCGACTCCCCGTTTTCCCCACCTCCCATTCTACTCTCTGCCTTTACGAGCCTGACAATTTTAGACACCGCATAGAAGCGGAATCATGCAGTATTTGTCCTTCTGTGACTGGCTTATTTCACTCAGCATACTGTCCTCAGGGTTCACCCATGTTGTCACATACTGTAGGATTTCCTTCTCTTTTAAGGCTGAATAATATTGGTATATACATACAGTGGAATATGACTCAGATTGCCTTAGTTTCTACCTAATGTCCTTTTTCTGTTCTAGGATCCCATCTGGGAGACCACATTACCTTAGTTGTCGTGTCTCCTTAGGCTCCTCTTGGCTGCGACAATTCAGACTTTATTTTAAATACTTAGAGAACACAACTTTCTTTTAACAAAAATAGACCTCTACATTCATTCTATTTTGGAACCCTCTTTTTTTCACTTAATATATCCTGCGTGTCCTTCTATGTTGCTAAGTTTATTCTCATTCTAAAGTTTATTTTAGTATGGGATCTTACCTCCTTTGGAACACGCTGCGTGACGTGAGGTTATTTTTGATTCAAACTCTATCCCATTATCCTTTGAGCTGAAATTAGGGAAAAAGCGCACATATGCGTACATTCTCGCGTGTGCACGGGCCATCCTGCAAGCGCATATGAGAGAAGCAAAAGCTGGTGGCTGGGGGAAGGGCCCAGGGAGATTTTCTTTTCACTGAGTATCCTTCCGTACTTTTTGAATTTTAAAAATTAAGAAAAATGTTAAAAGCCCATACTTCCTAATTTGCCCTAAGAGGCCCCCCTTCCCTTTGAGGAGGAAACGCTCTCCCGGTTTCTCAACAGGTCTGTGGGGCCCACAGATGCCCCATGCCCAGGCTGCTGGGTCAGAATCGAGGAGCAGAGCAGGGCTCAGAGGGCAGCACTGGGCCTGGCGGGGCGGTGAGGGGAGGGTGTGGGATGGGGGATCACGGCCCAGCGCCCGAGCTGGGACAGCGGCCGGGGGCGAAGGAAAAAAGAGACAGGCTGGGGGTCTGGAGAGCTAGGTTCTGGCCCTGACCCTCTACCTCCCTGACTCTGGCAACGCCCTCCTCCTCTCTGGAGGTGACAGGCTGGGCTTCCACCGAGGCCTCCGAGGCCGCCACCTGCTCTCAGACTCTCTGAGAACAGAGACCGCCCTGTGGTGGGCAGCCCAGGACGGACATGTGAAGCTCATCACAGAACAGAGAAGTGACAGGAACAGGGAAGCCCGATAATGAGGCCAGTAGAGACGAGGACAGAACACTGGGGCTCAGAGGCTGAGGCTTGAGCAGCTAGGGGCACAGGGGTCAGTGCAGGGGCAGAGAGGACCCCGAAAAGGCCTAAACATGAGGGAGGAGGATGGCAGCAGAGAGAGAGCAAGGAGGGATGCCCTCTTAGACTGACCCCAGCCTGGGGAGCCAGGAAAAGAGAAGTGCTGAAGGCTCGCTGGCCGGGGTGGGGCGGCCAGCTGGCACTGTGGGGGCTGGACAGAGAGCAGGTGGGCCCAGCAGGAGGGCTCCACACTGCAGGGACCAGGGCCGAGGGCGCTGCCAGCCTGGGGAAGTGACTGAGGCGCAGTGGGTTCAGTCACAGCAGGCAGCTGTCTGGGATGGACCCAGGGCCGGAAATCGCTCCCTCTGGAGCACTTGCACCCTGTGAGAGGGTTTGTGTTGTAAACACTCAACACGCTGTGGTGTCCTGAGGAACCTTGGAGATGGTCCAGTGGGGTAGGCTTTCCCACATTTGCAGCCTCTAAAACAGCCCTTTTGTCTCTGGGTTTTTGAACAGGCTGTTCCCTCCTCCTCCTGGACCACTTTCCCCACACACTTGGCAAACTCCTAGCCACCCTTTAAGTCTCAGTTTAGATGCCACCTCCTCCAGGAAGCCTTCCTTCGCACTCTGAGACAGCATGGGGGGGCTCACAAAGCTCCCAGAGCCTCCTCCCTCAGAGCACCCCTCACCGTGGTCTGTAATTGCCCCTGAGCAGCCTGCAAGCTGTGAAGGCAAAGACCCTGTCCTCTCTGACTCCATGGCCCCAGCCCCAGCAGAGTGCCTGGGTACAGGGGTACCCTGTCAATATCTGCTGGATGGGCACTAAAGAGCGGGGGCAAGAGAGGGATCCGAGTCAACCCATGGACGCGGGGCAGTCTCGACCAGGGGGCCCGATGGCGGTCTTTGGAAATGACACACGAGGCACTGTGTGCACTCGGGTTTGGAGGAAGCGGCTTAGATTCTGTTGGGCTCAGGACAAAAGACAGCAAAGTCCCCTAAAGGGCACAGCAACACTCAGCTTATATTTAAAATGATTCTTCAACTTATTGCAGTCACGGATTTCAAGATCTACTTCTTCATCAAGCATTTGAGCTCAACTTGCAAATATCATTCCATATATTTCTTAATCTAGCAGATGCTGACAGCCATTCTCCAGGGAGCTTGGATTCGTAGGTGGTTGCATTTCTCTACTTGCTCAATGACACCCCTTTAAACATTGTATCATTTTAATTTCCTTGTTAAGAACTTCAGTTGATCTGACCGACCCATACATCTTCCACATACTTTAAGTAATTCTTAGAATTTTAATAAATTAAATTTATAAATATGGTGAGGCTTAAATCTTCCAATACTGCATACAAACTCAGGAAGATTTCCATATAAAATCACAGATCTAAATCTGCTACTTAATTACACATTTTAAATTAGAACTCAAAAGTTTTATCTGTTGCTTGAAAAGGCCAAATTCTCTTAAACATTACCGTTATTTAAAATTCCAAACATGCACCATTTCTTCAACATAAAAAATTAATAGTATGGCAACACACAGAATAGGAGGAAATATTTGCAAATCACACACCCAATACGGGATTAATATCCAGAATATATGGAGAACTCCTAAAACTCAGCAACAACAACAAAACAAACAACTTGATTCAAAAACGGACAAGGGATTTGAATAGACATTTCTCCAGAGAAGATATGCAAATGGCCAAAAAGCACATGAAAAGATGTTCAACATCATTGATCATTAGAGAAATGCAAATCAAAACCACAGTGAGATGCTACCTCACACCCCTTAGGATGGCTACAACTTAAAAAAAAACCCCAAAACAGAAAATAACAAGTATTGACAAAGATGGGGAGAAACTGGGCCTCACCCATTGCTGGTGGGAATTTAAAATGGTCCAGCTGTTGTGGAAAACATTATGACAGTTCCTCAAAAAATTGAACATAGAATTACTATTTGACCCAGCAATTCTGCTTGTGGGTCTATACCCAAAATAACCGAAGCAGGAAGATGAGCAGATGTTTGTACACCCATACTCATAGCAGCATTATTCACTACAGCCAAAAAGTGGAAGCAACCCAAGCGTCCATCGACAGAGAAACGGATAAACAAAACGTGGTTCAATACACACAAAGGGTTATTATTCAGCCTTAAAAAGGAAGGAAATTCTGACATGTGCTTCAACATGGATGAACCTTGAGGACATTATGCTGAGTGCAACAAGCCAGCCAGAGGGACAAATTTTGTGTGATTCCACTCACATGAGCTACTCAGATACAGAATTCAGACTTAAATTCATAGAGACAGAAAGCGGAATGGTGGTTTCCAGAGGCTACGGAGAGAGGAAAATGGGGAGTTACTGTTTACTGGGTACAGAGTTTCTGTTTTGCAAAGTAAGAAAAGTTCTGAAGATGGATGACAGTGACAGTTGCATAGCAATGTAAATGTACTTAATGCCCCTGAACTGTGGCATTCACTTGACAGCGTTCACTTAATGACTAAAATGGTTATGTATATTTTACACAATTAAAAATAAATAAGTAAAAATTTTAAATTAACAGCATGAGTTTGATTTTCTTAAACATTTCTAAATTTGATTCTAAATCTTTCTGGGATTAAAAAATGCTTTTCCACTAAGGAAACTATCACTTCATCCCAAGTGATCTTGAGGTTACCTTCCCAAGAAAATTTTGAGAGACACCCTCTCTTCCAGGTGAAGTGGTGTGACAACCTATGATCTAGTTGGGACATGAGGTCTAGAGATACAGAGACAGAACAACGTTTCTTAGGACCTCGACTGGCAGGCTGAGTACCCTTTAACAGTCACAATGTGGTGGACTCCAAAACCTCAAGGAGGGGCTGAGCTGACCAAGGCCATTCCCATCTCTCAAAGACTGTTCCACCACTCGACTGGATCCTGCATTTCTTTGGTTTATCAATTATTTCCTGTCTAGCTCTAAAGACCATAGATTTGTGGGATTTTGCATTATTTTTGCATCCTGGTGAGGTTACACCTTATAAATACGTTTCAGTGACCAAAAACTGGGTTCTGGGTCTCCCCAGCTTCGTCTAAGTCGGGCGTCTAAGAAGGCCGTTCCTGGGACGTACGATGCCCTCCGGCTGGTGTTTTGGAAACGTACCTTCAATCTTGGTCTTGAAGTGGGGGTATCTGTTGAGAATCTCCACCTGTTTCTTCCAGTCAAATTCATTCCGCCAGTAGGAGACGATTTGCTTCAGATAGTTGGAGTTGAAACCGTAGTGGAAGCGGCTGTCCTCCAACGGCGGGGTCAAACGGGCCTTGTCGATCCTCTGGTGTAAGTCCTGGAGCAAAACGCAGGACCCCAAGGGGACGGGGTGGGTGGGGCAGAGCACAAGAGAAACTCTGTTTCCAGAAGACAGAGCTCACCCTACAGCCACAGGACACAGTGCCACAGAAGAGGCCAAGCCAAGCCTCATGGGAGAGCGGGAGGGGAGCGGGCGTCGGTCTGGAGGCCGCGCTCAGGGTGTCAGGCTTGTCCCAGAAGAAACCTCCTGTTCCCCACCACAGCAGCTCTTACCCCAACATATGTGTCCTCACTTTCGACTCGAGGTTTACCTCTCATCTCTCAGTTTTTAAATGTATGAACAATACACAATACGCATCTTTAAGTTTCCTAGCCTTAGCAGGGAACATATAGCAGGGGCTGGCAAATCTTTTTGTAAAGGGTTAGAGAGTAAATATTTTAAGCTTTTTGAGCTGCAACTACTCCACTCTGTCCATGTAGTGTGGAAGCAGCCGTGGACAATATGTGGACTAATGGACGTGGCTGTTTTCCAATAAAACCTTACTTACGGACACCGAAATTTGAATGCCATATAATTTTCACATGTCATGAGAAATTATTCTTATTTTGATTTTTTCCAACCGTTTAAAGATGTAAAAACTATTCATAGCATGGGGGTTGTGCAAAAACAGGTGGCCGGGTGGATGCGCCCCATTGACTCAATGATGCATTATAACTCAGTTGGTATGAAAATTAGAGACCAGGAGAGACGGCGCAAGTCTGATGGGTGAGCGTGAGGCCACTGAGACCAGCCTTGCTGGGGGAAGTTCAAGTCCACGCACAGAGATCTCAAGTGTTGCCGTTCCCAGGGTTTCCTCCCAGGCACCTCAGTCACCCCCAAGCAGATTTTAGAAATCTTAGACCCGAGTCTAAGAACCCACGAAAGAAGTTATCCTCAGGGCTCAGCCTCTGTCATAAATGGCGAGGCCTTATCAAGTCCCACCAAGGGAGCAGCAGCCTGGTTTCTCTGGGGTGCAGCCTAGTTTCTGTTTTTTCAATCCCATCCTCCTCGGAACTCTCCTGACTTTTTTCTCACCACTTTTCATGGCATTTATCCCTATTAATCTTCTAGTTAACTTTTCTCTGTGCACACTTCTTTTCTCAACTATTGGACTCTGAGCTATTTGACTCTCTCTTCTTCCAAGCCCCCAGCTATGTGCCTGCACACAGTAGGTACTCACATACCCACAGAATGAAAACGAGAATGGGTGGGGACATCCCAGCTCCCTCCCACCCTCCCGGCCCAGCTCAAGCCTGGCTCTCAGATCAGCCCACCCCGCCAGTCACAATCATGGTTACAGTCATGGTCACGGTCATGGTCATGGTCACATCCTTCCTGCCTCCAGCGCAGTGCGGAGGAGGGGGCAGTGGCTTTGGAATGAGACAGCTCTGAGTCCAAACCCTTCTGCCTATCATCTCGGTCACCTTGGACAAACGGCTTTACCTCTCTGAGCTTCAGTTTGTGCATGTGTAAGATGCAACAATAGTCTTCAGCCTACAAGACTCCTGCAGGGACTGAGCGTGACCATGAGTGGCTGACACACAGTAGGTGCTTAACCAACACTGGCCCCGCCACAGGTTTTCTGTGCTTCGGCATTTTATGTCGCCATGGTCTTGCCTTCTCTTAGGATCTCCGCCCAGGCCCTGACGAGAACCTGCTCACTTTCTCCTACAAGCTCAGGCGGGGCACAAAGGAGGCAAAACAGCTGCTTTCTGTGACCTTTGATGCATGTAACTGGGTCCAGCTGGCACCCCCTCTTCTGCCTAGTCACTGCCCGGCCTTGGGTAGGGGAAAGGAGACAGAAGAGGGAAGGAGAAGAAGGGAGACGACGGGCAGAGCGGGTGAGCTGGGTACCCCTCTCTGGGGCAACTGCACCTGCCCAGGTGCACCTGGAAGAAGAGCAGACTATAAAAAAACCCTCCCAAGAGGGGCCCTTCCCAAGGCCTGGGCCCTCCCCAGCCCCAGCCTAAGGCCCAACCTGGTTACAGGGAAACCGCAGAAGGGGCTCCCTGGCCCTCCCGTCTCTCAGCTCTGCTCAGAAAAAGGAGCCTTACGTTGATCTCCTCATCTGACGTTTCCACCTTGAAAGGACGGATGCTCTCATCCTCCCGGCCCGTGGGCCTCGACCCAGGCCCCCACCACCCATCTTCAAGCGGCAAAGTTTCCTCCTTGTCCCTGGAGACGAACCAGTAGATAACAAAGCCCAGCACGGAGGTGAGCAGAATTTCCAGCCACATGACTCCTGTGGAGTGGATAGAACCCATTAGCAACAGAGGCCACCCAGCCAGACCTCGACCCCCCGCCAGAGAGGCCAAACTTCCAATTTCTCTCCCACCCAATCCCTGATTTTATGTCCTTTTGCCCTAAAAAGTAACATAAGCATAGTATAGAAAGATTGGAAAACAATAGAAAAAGAGACAAAAGTCACCCATTATCCTACTGAGCTATGAAATCTACTAATCAAATTGGGAAAAAATGAAGCCGGGTTGGCTTCTGCATAACCCTGGTGTTGGGGGCTGCATTCCTGAGGCCCCAAGTTTCTCTGAGGGGCCTTCTGCTCCAGAAGCTTCTGAGAAGCCTCTCCCACCCTTGGGCCCCCTACCCCTACCGGAGAGCAGCGACTTCTCTGAGTGGTGGGCTCAGGAGAGGGAATGGGGCTGAGGCTCAGCCCCTCGCTGTCTCTCTCTGAGAGGGGCCTGTCCTCGGGATGTATGTAAGCGGCAAGGGGACAGGTTTGAAGGTTAAGTTCAATTCGGGGCGGGGGTGGGGTGGGGAGAGGGAGGAAGAGTCTTAGGCAGCCCAAACATGGCCACACATCTCAGCTGGATTTTGTTTGACAGCCTTATTGACACATGATTCACAGAGCACATAATCCACCCATTTAAAGTGTACAACCCCTGGGCTGGCCCCGTGGCCGAGTGGTTAAGTTCGCGCGCTCCGCTTCGGCGGCTCAGGGTTTTGCTGGTTCGACTCCTGGGCGTGGACATGGCACCGCTCACCAAGCCATGCTGGGTTGGCGTCCCATATGCCACAACTAGAAGGACCCACAACTAAAAATACGCAACTATTTACCGGGGGGCTTTGGGGAGAAAGAGGAAAAATAAAATCTTTAAAGTGTACAACCCGATGATTTTTAGTAGATTCACAGATTTGTGCACACGTAACCACAGTTGTAGAACATTTTCATCGCCACAAAGAGCAACTCCATCCCCATTAGCTATCACCCCCGACTGCCCCCTGCCCCACCCCAGGCCCTAAGCAACCCCTAATCTACATTCTGCCTCTATAGAGTTGCCCATGACAATTTGTATAAACTCAGCTGTTTTAATCCCCATTTGCCTGATTCCTGTGTCTTTTTTCTCAGAAAGGGAAAAAAGAAGAGCTTAGTTCCTGCAAACCAATACCAGGCAGACCGTGGCCCAGCATTGTTTTCTTCCGCATTCCCAGAGAAGGAACCCACGGGAGCTTCCAGCTCACGGAAACGTGCATGGGCGCAGACACGGTGCTCGTGCCAGAGCCAGCCGAGCTTCTGCTGGACGCAGAGCAGTTAGGACCCAAGTGGAGGGGAAATGATCGTGTCTCAGACAAGGCCTCGGTAGAGCCCCTCCCCGGCTCCAGCCCTGTCTTGGAAACTGAGGCAGGAGGAGGACCCTGCTAGGAAACCCACCCTACTGTGTCCTCTATTTGCCACAGGGCCTTGCTGGGGGCTTGCTGAGGCCCTGAGGTCTGCTCCTGGCAGGAGCTGCCCCTCTAAACTGAGAACTGGGCCACTGGGGGCCATTTCTTGAAATATTCGTCCATAGTGGTCCTTAATGAAGGTTCTGGACAGACCTTCATTGGCGTTGGCTCCCTCCCTTTCCTGCAGCGGGGTGGAAATCTGACGCCCTGTTTCTGCCAGTGACCCCACTGACCTCTGAGCTCCCATACTCAGTCCCTGGAACCATCTCTAATTCTCCCCTCACACCTGTCCCTCACCAAGTCCTGCTGAAACCAAGGACAAAGGAGCGAAAATTTCCCGGGATTAGGGTGAAACTGTGCCTCGCACTCACAGGGTTAACGTGAGAAACAAAGTAACCAAAGTTTCTGAGCTCACCTTGCAGAACAGCAGGAGGGCCGCTGATAAGAGAGGAGCTTGTGACAGCCCCCGGCCTGACTAAGCATCTTGCAAGAACATTGAGAAGCTAAAACGACTGATTGTAAACTCTAGACGTCAAAGACTGAAAATCCACCATGTGCAACATGTAGAACAGATGGTCACGCCTGTGCAGAGGACTCTTCAGCCCCCAAGGCCACATGCTCCCCCTCCCCTACCTAAAACCCCAAACAAAAACGCTTGCTTGGAGCTTTTCAGGGAGTTCAGGATGATAGCGTTAGCTGCCTTTTCTCCTTGCTCAGGACTGTGCAATGACAAAATTCCTACTTTCTTCCCCTACACCCGGAGTCAGAGATTGGCTTGCTGCACAACAGGTGAGCGAACTCACTTCAGGTTTGATACCAATTTGGCAACCCAGATGGGACAATGTCCCAAGTGCACGTCTCACCTGTGGCACTCTGGCCTCTGGGTAAAAGCTGCTCTTGGAAGCTGTCCTGCAGCTGACTGAGCCCCTTGTCTCAGGGACAGCCGCAAGCGACTGGATGCTGGCCAGACGTCGCTTGGTGCTTTTGCTTTGGTGGTGGAAGAAACTAGGTTCAGGGCTTAGGAAGACGTCTCTTGCGAGTAGATGGCAGTTTTTGTTTTTGTCCATGTGCTAACCTTTTCCAACAGGACCAGCCAGAAATAATGGGAACCTGGCAGCCCTCTGGGCTCCATTTGTTTTAAGGTCGAGATGGCTCAACCAGATTGGGTAAGTCGTCCAGTATGCACACCGAGGTCCCTTGTCCTTGCTCATTTGGGAATATCTGTGGGGCGGATCTTCATTTGTTGGGCACCCCCTGAGTGTAGGACACGTACTAAGCTGGGACTGGAAGCACTTTGGTTTTGGTTTCTTTGTTCTGGCTTCCATTTGCTGGCCAAGGGTTTCTGGGAAAGCACGGTTGTTGGATCTCTGGTTGTTGTTTGTTTGTCTGTCCTTTTAAAAGTGTTAACAAGAGAGGTGCCACATCTATTCCACCTAAGAGCCCCTTGGGAAAAAGTTTGACTCACTGGTCGACCTATAGTTATAAACCAATGTCTAAAGAGGGATGATTTTCTTTTGTCACACCACATGGCCACAATAATCTTTAGACTCCAGAAGGGAAAAAAATGGCCCAACAATGGATCTTTAAGTTGGAAGATTTTTCGAGAGCTCTCATCACAAACAGCTGTTTTATTGGTACCTATGAAAAGACCAAATTAAAAGAAAAATACAATGACTACTCTTAAGAACTTAAACTTGGGGTCTCACCTTCTCATGGTCTTACAGATGCTAATGAAAACATTAAGTTAACAAAGAAAAATCAGAAAGGGAAGAGTCACAGGACTCATCCCAACAGGATGGAAATCTTTAACTAGTTATTAAAAGGAAAACGGGGGGCAGTCAGGTGGCGCAGCGGTTAAGTGTGCACATTCTGCTTCTTGGCAGCCCAGGGTTCGCCGGTTCGGATCCTGGGTGCAGACATGGCACCACTTGGCAAGCCATGCTGTGGTCGGCGTCCCACATATAAAGTGGAGGAAGATGGGCACGGATGTTAGCTCAGGGCCAGTCTTCCTCAGCAAAAAGAGGAGGATTGGCAGCAGTTAGCTCAGGGCTAATCTTCCTCAAAAAAAAAAAAGGGAAAACGGGATCAATGGAACACACATGAATAAAGTTGAAACAAAGGTTTTAATAAAACACTGCCTAAGGTTGGATGGGCTAAAGGGACCCCTTATTGGCTCCCCAACATTAAAGGACATCAGATAGGCCTGTTCTATTTACCCCAGTTTGAAAAAAAATTAAAAAGCCAGAAGACAGAAATCACAATAAGAAAGCTGACCAACAATTATTTGGTGCAATAGTTAGGCTACCAAGGTTAATAAGACTATAAAGATTAAAGTGTTTAACAAGTGTTTTATACATAATATTATATCAACTTTGCCCGGATTTTTTTTTAAAGGTTGGCACCTGAGCTAACATCTGTTGCCAATCTTCTTTTCTTTCTTCTTCTTCTTCTCCCCAAAGCCCCCCAGTACATAGTTGTATATTTTAGTTGTGGGTCCTTCTAGTTGTGGCATGTGGGATGCCGCCTCAGCGTGGCCTGATGAGTGGTGCCATGTTTGCGTCCAGGATCCGAACTGGAGAAACCCTGGGCTGCCAAAGCGGAGCGTGTGAACTTAACCCCTTGGCCATGGGGCCGGCCCCTGCCTGGATGTTTTTTTGGAAATAGATGTCACACCTGGCTGGAAATGCTTCCCCTACACAGTACTGTAATACCAAAACTTGCTAATAAAATTCTAATATGTTAGAATTAAACTTAAAATTAAGATATAGTTTTGTAAAAATTGGTATATTTAAATGGGGCAATTTCAGTTTACCCAAACTGATGTATTTACATATACAATTGGAAAAAGCCAGCTACAAAGTTAAATAACTACCGGGAAGCCTGTTTTAATCTTTTGAGACTTCTAAATAAAATCAGGAGTGCTTTACTGCCTCTTTAAAAGAAAATAAATAATTAAACATGCCAGTAGCTAAAGATGAATCTGCTGCTCGTCTCTCCTCTCTTGCTGAGCTTCCCCACTTCAACTCCCCCGAAATTCCTGATCTAAAATTAAGCAAGAAAAATAAGTAAACTTTTGAGATAATTTAAAATTGTAACGATCTCTCTGGGGAACCTCTGTTTCAGAGGAGTCCACCTTAAGGGTCACGCTGAAAAGAGAGGATTCAAAATCTCTCATGATGGAATGCAGTCTTTAATTAACACGCAGAAACGTCTAAGAGACAAAGTTGTTTAACACGATAAAATTAAGCTTTGATAACTGAGAGCTTATTTAAGTGTGCTGGTTTAATTTAAAATAGACATGTCCTCAGAGTTATCAGCCTCGGATATGATGCAGACGTGTTGTCTCTGTTATAAAATGTGTCAGCAAAAGTAATAACTTAGAATAATAGCAGATTTTGTTTGATGTCTCATGAAGTTTCTGCAGGCAATCTAAATATAATTGTTGAGAAGAGGTAAACTAAATAGATGTAAAAAAGAAAAGTTTTGGGGGGTACTTTTTAACAACAATTATGTGTTATGACGTATGTACTTAAAACAACTTAAGATGAATGGCTAACTGTTTTA